CTTCCCCCACCCTCTCCCACCCTCTCACACCCTCTCCCACCCTCTCCCACCTTCCCCCACCCTCTCCCACCCTCTCACACCCTCTCCCACCCTCCCCCACCCTCTCACACCTCCCCACCCTCCCCCACCCTCCCGCAACACCCCCTTCAGCTCCCGGAGCCTTTCATCTTCACGTGGCTTGTGGAGCTGCCTGTCGTGTATCTGCCAGTTGCTTGCCTCACAAACCCACTTCCTCCCTGCTTCTAATAACTCTCCCTCACCTCGCCCACCCTCTTCCACGCCCTCCTGTCAGCTCCCAGAGCCCTGGAGCTTCATCTTCACGTGGTTTGTGGTGCTGCCTGTCGTGTACCTGCTGAGCCAAGCCATCACCAACGGCATCTTCAAGGACTTCCTCATCCTGCAGGTATGCACCGCATTCTTATGCATGGCTGCATGGGCACAGGGAATAAGGTCACATGGGTGCATGATTGAGTGTACCTGCTGAGCCAAGCCATCACCAACGGCATTTTCAAGGACTTCCTCATTCTGCAGGTATGCACCGCGTTCTTATGCATGGCTGCATGGGCACAGGGAATAAGGTCACATGGGTGCATGAGTGAGTGTACCTGCTGAGCCAAGCCATCACCAACGGCATTTTTTAGGATTTCCTCATTCTGCAGGTGAGCATGGGGGTATGGCCGCAATGGCCCATATGATTGAATGTACCTGCTGAGCCAAGCCATCACCAATGGCATTTTCAAAGACTTCCGCATTCTGCAGGTGAGCAGCTCGCCATGACGCCATCACGACATCATGGCCCCCATTTTATTGCATGGGTGCATGGTCGCATGGGGGTATGGGTGTATGGGTGCATGGTCGCACAGGGGTATGGGTGCATGGTCGCATGGGAGTATGGGTATGGTCGCATGGGAGTATGGCCGCATGGGGGTATGGTCGCATGGGAGTATGGCCGTATGGGGGTATGGCCGCATGGGGGTATGGTCGCATGGTGCATGAGTAAACGTTCCTGCTGAGCCAAGCCATCACCAATGTCATCTTCAGGTCTTTCTCATTCTGCAGGTCAGCAGTGCGCCCCCAATACCCTGCATGGCCACATGGGGTGATGGGCATGTTGGAGCATGGGCGCGTGAGTTCATGCATGTAGGCACGAACCATCCATAATCAACGGCATCCCCAGGAGCTCTTGCCCCCCATCTCCCGTTAACCCCTCTTCTGCTGCTTAACTCTCCTCCCCTCCTCTCCTTCTCACCTCTTCTTCCCTACTCACCCCTCCTCTTTGCCTCTCCCCCTCTCTCCCCCCCACTCTCCCCACCCCCAGGGCCCGTGCCCCAACTGCGGGCACAAGAACGTGAGTTTCTTCGGCACCATTCTCACAGTCAGCACGGGGCAACGAGTCAACCAACTCAAGTGCGAAGATTGTGGCTCCTCCATCTCCTTTGACCTAGACACCCGCAGAATCACTCTCGAGGCCCTCCCTCCCGTCGCTGCCAAGGTACGGTGCCTCATTTGCTATAGTTGTATTTTCCACTTCTCTGCACTGCTTGACTGTCAGCCGCCATATATATATATATATATATGTATATATACATATATATGCAAATCTGTCTCTGGTTTAGCCTTTTACCGTTCTCTCATATTTTCGTCCTTTCCCAATCTGTGTTGCAGGGAGCACCCAAATCTGCCTAATTGCAACATTTGTTCAAGATGTTTGTGAACAATGCCTGATGCATGTTACAACAATGATGGAATGTGCAATTATTTTACACAAATGATTTTTTTTTTTGTGTGAGTGGTGCCCTATTTCCAATAGAGGCCGTGTGATGAATTAGCTAAATGTCTCCTTGTGTTTATTATATGCTTTGTATGAAAAAATCAACGTGGCCCGTGGATAAAAGAACCGCCCAATTCTCTATATACCCGACGGTTCGAATCTTCCAGCCACAACCAGCCCGTTACAGGCCAGCACACAGTGCCCTGTTCTGCCATACTCTGTTAAAACTTGCAATGCAAGCACAAGGATCACCATAAAACCCCAGTGAGTTGCACCACTTATGTTCTGCTAAAATGTTATTTTGCCAGTGAATGGTGAAGACTCTCAGATACGTGTAAGATGCAGTTATACAACGAGATGAGCTTCACAAGGTTATCCAGGTGTACAGTACTGACTGTGACGCGTAACTATGATGATGGTCAGGGTCAAAGCAGTTTGCTGTCTTGCGCGTGCTTGCAGGGAAGCTCAAGCTCGGCGCATGTTCCACTTCATTCCATCCATTCCGTTCCGTGTTTCGTGTGTGTGTGGGTGTGGTGGGCTGTGCTGAATTAGATTTGGGCATGCGTTGAATTGCGCAGTCAATCTTGTTGCTCGGTTTCATCAATCTGCGTCCCTCTTGTCCTGCCATATCAAACAATTCTTCTCGCGGGCAGCCCTGCCCGAGTTCCTCGTTCCTGGCACACTGTTCAGAGGTAATGTTTTGTTTCAGCAACTGTAGACATCATGCCTCACCGCCGCTCTCCGCAACTCTCTCACGGTTGTATAACCGTTCAAAGTTCCCCTTTTCAGTCACTCAGAATCTGGGTTAGATATATCCTAGGTTATTCGTTTATTTGTGTTAAAGCTCGCGTCTCATATTTCTGCCATCCAACCAAGTGTTAAACGGTTGGAATCCGGTAACAGCAGAGTTTGTCGCAAAGCACACCAAAGCAAGGGGTGGTTTGGGAAAGTTGGCTGTCGCACACTTCCCCGTGCACACCAAGTGTTAACAACTCTCGAAAATGAGACTCTGAACTCAACGTTGACAGAACCCGGGACCAAACCTGTCCCCCTTGGCTCGTTTTCCACCCAAACCAACCCACCCTGGTTTGTTTTGGCCTCGACTGTTTGGGAGTTCGCTGTGTTTTTTTCACCCACTCGTCAAATAATTCGTCATTCGTTACCCAATCACAGACGGGAAAACCCAACCAAGTGTTAAAAGGTTGGAAATCTGAGACGCGAGCTTTAAAGAGTAGCAGTTCCGCGAAGAGTTTGAGAAACATTTACGGTCAAAACGAGGGTAACTGAGTGTGTCAAATTAAGACCAGAAATGTTTGAAATGTCAAATTAAATCCTGCAAGCAGACGTCAAACCTGCCGGTTTCTTTCACGGTCGTCGTCCAAGTCGTCCCAACTTACCAACAGCATTCCAACAAGTCGTCGTCACCGACAGCCCTGGAAGTCGTCGCTCGGTCGCCACCGCCTGTGCTGATCTCCTACTGGTTGCTAGCTTGGCTACACTGTACACTCAAAAGAACTCGTGGTGGGACAAACATAGGACAAAGCTAGCAGGTGGTACACATAACCAAGATTGTCAACCAATCAGTGAAAATTCATCGTGTCAATCGGTAAGGTGATTCGTTCCTTTCGATGGCTTGGCGATCCTTGGGATGGGATGCGGTCACTATTGCAGGCTTCCAACCACAAAACAAACTTGCCATCCCAAAGGCAATTCGTAGCGCGACGCGATCCGTCATTCCCGCCCTGGTCCCCGGAAAAGGCTGTGATGTGCCCCCAAGGCGGAGAACGTGCCCGAGCATCCAACAAACCAACCAACTACAGAAACAACCCAAAGCAGCTGCGGTGGCCCAGCATTCCAGCGACACAAGTACAAACCATCATTTCGCACCAGCAGCAAACAAACTTCTAAATGTTTTTTTTCCAGCCCCAACACAAGCCTCCCTCGTGCAGACGAGCAGCAAAGCACACCCCAAAGCAGTGTGCTGCTGTCTGGACTGCACACATTTCCCCCTCCCCTCCCCGCCCATCCCAACCAACCACTTGTTCAAAGCCAGCAATCAATCAACCATTTCCATCTAGCCTTTCTTGAAGGTAACCATTTCCATTCAGCAAAACCCTAACGCACCTAGACGGAGTGTAACGGAGAGTACCAACAACAAAAGTAACTTCTTTTATTCCCACATTCCACCCAGAGCATATTAACTACTGCTTGAGACAGCCGCAGCAAAGCGCAGATAAGGGGAAAATGTCAACGGAAGACGATGAATCGCCCTCTATGGAGGTGCAGCTGGAATCGTTGGGAGAGTTGTGTCGACGGCTTCAGGAAGCGGCGCGGCAGGCGCATTCTAACAGCAAGGTTCTCTTAAAGCATGCGGACACCATGGTGCTGCGCGTCGAAATCGCCAAGCGCGGTGTGGATCTCGTAGATCATGAATTCGACCAGGCGCTCGGAAGGTAGTATGCAAAAAGCTGACAACGAATTCAAGGGAACGAAAAAATAAATGGAAAAAAAATAACTTGAAAAAAATAATCAGAATAAACAACAGCTCTCCTTTCTGTTAAACTAACCCGCCTCCAGAGACTCTCTATGAAACGAAATGGGGAAATCAATGGGAACATGAGCTTCCCAATTTTCATTCCTCGACTGTTCCTCTCTACTAACACCCCATTTCTCCAAGACTTTACATACTTATGATTTGTGGTACAGGCTACACTTCTTGCGCCATGAAGGTCGGCCGACTAGGGCCGCGGGGGCCTACTACACAAATTTATGAGTCTGCATTCCTCCCCAGATATAACGCCCTCTCCTTTAGACCAAGCTACTATGGGTTGTGCGAAGCTGCCTTTGAACCTTCCTCATTGGCTCAGGGTCCCCCTCCCCCTGGTGGACCAGGTCTGCGCTGCTGCATTACGTTAAACGGCAATCTACATTAAGTTCTAGCTACACCACTCGAACCCTAGGCTCTGATACCAGTATAGAGCCTAGTGCCCTAAACCACCGGGACCGAAAGGGACATAATTGAATCGCGCAGTGGTGACCCGTTCAGCTCTTTGCGTAAGTCACAGACGACATCACACTACCCCATTCCTCCCCGCATTTCTCCCCACAACTCAATCCCACCAGCGATGTTACCGAGGCTCAAGAGCTCGTGGAGACTGCCATCTCACGACATGCGGCTCATATGTGGAAAGATTGTTCGAGAATCGCTCGTAACCTGCGAGGCTTCCTGATGCGTGCGAAAAAACTGAACCCTTTCTCCCACAAACCCAACCCTGCCAGCGATGTGACCGAGGCTCAAGAGCTAGTGGAAGCTGCCGTATCATCACACTAAACCCCATTCCTCCCCGCATTTCTCCCCCCAACTCAATCCCACCAGCGACGTTACCGAGGCTCAAGAGCTCGTGGAAGCTGCCATCTCATCACTCACCACGTGTCAGACTCTCCTTGGCTCATCGTCCGTCCCCACGGGAGGCGCTTCTGGTGGCCATGCACCCGGCGCCACCGCTGAAGGTCACATGGACAACCCAACAGCACCAGGGCGGCCATACATGATGCTGCCAACGCTGGCAGCTTCGCAGCAACAGGCTGGAGCTGCAGGTGCAGGATCATCACCAGCAGCAGCAGCAGCAGCAACAGCAGCAGCTGCAACAGCGGCGGCGGCGGCGGCGGCGGCGGCGGCAGCAGCAACACAGCGGCAAACACAAGCCCAGGGACCTCAGGAGGAGCATCAACTCTACTGGACCCCCCACAACCACTTGACGTACGGGTATGGTAATCTGGCTGCTGCGTCCAGGCATGGTGGTGATGCTTCCTTGCCCATGGGAACAGGTGATCTGAGAATCGCTAACTCCTTTGGAGGTTATGCTGGTGCTTCAGCTCTTGCGAGTGCTGTGCCCATGCGTGGGGGATCGTTACCCCTTCCTTTATCGCGTGCACAAGGAGAAGGATCAGCAGCTGGAGAAGTGGGAGGAGGAGGGAGCGGAGGCGGAGGCGGGGCAGGGGGGAGGGGAGAGGGAGGAAGAGAGGGCGGGGGAGGAGAAGTGGAGGAAGGAGGAGGAGGAGGAAGAGCAGGCGAAGCCAATGTGTTACCAAGCTCCAGCTATGCATCAGGTAGTAAGTGGTTTCAAGGTTTTCCAGGGGATGCGGGAGGAAACGAGGCCTCTGGAATGGCTGGGGCAGGCTCAGTCCCATATAGAGCTTTAGCAGCATCAGTGCCATATAGAGCTGTAGCAGCATCAGTGCCATATAGTGCTGTAGCAGCCCCGGGGCCGTACAGTGCTGTAGCAGGGCTGACAGGGGGTCGGGTTGAAGGGGAAGGAGGAGGCAGGGCAGGGGAAATGGATGATCTGGCTGCACGGGTGAGTCTGGAGACAGCGCTAGGGGACAACCTGATAAGGCAAGCTCTTGCTTTCCTGCAAGAGGATTCGGATGGAGGAGAGAGGGTGGCAGGTGGGATGCATGGAGCGGGCGGGGCGGGGGGAGTGGGAGCAGGAGGGGCAGAGAGAGTGGGAGCGGGAGGGGCAGAGGGAGTGGGAGCAGGAGGGGCAGAGAGAGTGGGAGCGGGAGGGGCGAACGAGGAGGCAGCGGCAGGGAACCAGGGGGACCCGAGTGTCAGTGGTGGCAGCGGCAGCGGAGTGAGCCTTGGAGCTGCAGCCGCAGCTGCAGCAGCACCAGCAGCAGCAGCGGCAGCGGCAGCGGCAGCGGCAGCGGCAGCGGCAGCGGCAGCAGCAGGAGCAGCAGCAGGCAGTCCGTTTCCAGAAGGCCATCAAGCCCACCAACGAAACAGCCATGCTGTTGCTGCAAACCCAGGCAGGGCTGCTGCACCTGGGAGCATAAGCAGCCTTGCGGCCTTTCCCAGATTCAACATCAACAACAGGACACCCCCTGCTGCAATCGGTACCATAGCTGTTAGCACTGGTGGTGGTGGTGGTGGTGTTGCCGTTGCCCCTGCCTTGGCAGCTGCTGGTTTCTCAAGAGGTGGACTGATAGCGCATGGAGGGGAACCAGACAGGAAGCGAGCAGCAGAGGAGGAATTGGATGGGCAGACTCTCATCCCCCACAAGAGGCAGCGCGCACCCGCGAAACCATCCGCCTCCGAAATCCCTCCGGACGGGTGGGAGTGGCGGAAGTACGGGCAGAAAGCTACACTCGGGCAGCTGTACCCGCGAAGCTATTTCCGGTGTGCGTTCCGGGGCGGTGGGCCGCCGTGCATGGCCAAGAAATGGGCCGAGAGGTGCAACGAAAACCCGTCGAACTGGAGAATTAAGTACATGTCAGAGCATAACCATGCCAAGCCGCCGCCTCGGCCGGTTACCATAACCATTGTGGCTGATGGCATGGGGGTGGACGCGGGTGGAGGGTCAATAGGTGCTGTAGGGTCGCCGCTGCCAGCACTCAGTGGCACGTCCCCTCTTGCCCTGCCCCTGCCTGCTACTCCTGGCTCTGCTGGTGCTGGTGGTTCTGGTGGTGCTGCTGGTGCTGCCGCTGGTGGTGCTGCTGGTGCCACAGATGTTAATGCTATGGCTGGGTGTGTCCCAAGCTCCCCGCTGCAGCTGCTGCCCACCTCTTCGCCTGGAAACGCGGAGGAACATGCACACGGTGGTGGTGGTGCTGCCGCTGGTGGTGCTGCTGGTGGTGGTGGTGACGGTGGTGGTGCTGATGCTGCTGCTGATTCTGCTGCTGATGCTGCCGCTGATATGGAAACCGGGAGTGATGAGGAGGGAAGGAGCAGGGAGTTACATACACCCGACCAGGGAGGTTCGGCCGGACGTGAGCCACGGTCAGGGTCGAGAGAGGGCAGGAGCGGGAGGGGGAGCGTGGGGGATCTAGGTCGGGCAGATGAGAGCAGCACTGGTGTGAGTCCACCGTCTCAGGCAAACCCACCTGCCACAGACCAGCCTGGGGCACACCCGCCTTGGTCACACCCCCTTGGGTCACACACACCTGATTGGACTAAAAAATCGCCTGAAGCGCAGTTGCCTGGTGTGTTCCGTAATGACACGAGGGAAAACAGTGAGATGAGAGGTGATCGAAGGGTTGATGAAGGGGGAGAGGGAGAAAGGGGGGAAGAAAGGCAAGTGGGGCACGTGGGGCATCAGGAGCAAGAGGGCCACGTGGGGCAAGTGGGGCAGGTGAGGCACGTGGGGCAAGTGGGGCATGAGCATATGCATGGGCAGCCAGGCCAGCAGACGACAGGCGAAGAGTCGAAGCAAGAAGACCGCCAAAGAGCGACGCAGGAAGAACCAGAGACGGGAGGCAGGAATGCAGGTGGTGCACAGAGGCAGCATGAGATTATCCGAACTGCAATGGCAGCAGCAGCAGCAGCAGCTTTTGAGGCGCCTCAAGAGTCGATGCAGGTAGAACCAGAGACGGGAGGCAGGAATGCAGGTGGTGCACAGAGGCATGAGATTATCCGAGCTTTTGAGGCGCCTCAAACGACGGGAGGCAGGAATGCAGGTGCACAGAGGCAGCATGAGATTATCCGAACTGCAATGGTACCAGCAGCAGCAACCACAACAGAAACAACAGCAGCAATCACAGAAACAGCGTTACGGGGAGCAAGAGCTGCAGTGAACATGCCAAACATGGCCGATTCAGCCGCACCACCGGTGACACTAACTCCCATTACAGTTACTCTAAGGGGTGCTGCAGCAGCAGCAATAGCAGGAGCATCATCAGCAGCAGCGGCGGCTGCATTTGCAGGTTCGGCAAGAGCAGGTAGCAGCGGGAGAGACGAAGCAGCAGATAGCGGATTACTCATAGACTGCCCCCACCGAGGCTCGTTCATGCCGAGCCTAGGCTCTTGGATCGACGTGGGCGCCGTACCTATGTGGGCCACGCCCGGGGGTAATAATGACTCGTCGAGCCCCGCGATTGGCGGGGCTGGCGTGGACCAATGGCAGCTAGTTGCTCAGGAGATTGAGGTGCCTTCCCCTGGAATGCTGGCTGAGATGAATGCTGAGAGGGGGATGATGGAGGATATGAGGGGGGAGAATGGGGACGAGGGAGAGGGATGAGAATGAGGGGAGTGGGAGGTGGAAGAGGGAGAGTAGTGATGATGGTTACAGGTCACACTACTGGAGTTTCCTTCCCCTGGGATGCTGGCTGAGATGAATTCTGAGAGGGGGATGATGGAAGACATGGAGGCAGAGGGACGAGGGAGAGGGATGAGAATGAGTGGAGCAGGGGGAGGATGGGGGAAAGGAGTGACGATTGTTAAAGGCTAGACTGCTTGGAGATTGAGGTGCCTTCGCCTGGAATGCTGGCCGAGATGAATGCTGAGAGCGGGATGATGGAGGATATGAGGGGGGAGAATGGGGACGAGGGGGAGGGATGAGAATGAGGGTGAGGAGTGGCGATTGTTGAAGGCTAGACTGGGGCCAATGGCAGTTGGTGGCTCAGGAGATTGAGGTGCCTTCGCCTGGAATGCTGGCCGAGATGAATGCTGAGAGGGGGATGATGGAGGATATGGGAGGAGAGCAGAGGGATGAGGGGAAGAGATGAGAGTGAGATGATGGTGGGGAGAGGAGTTGCATTTGTTCAAGGCCGCACTGTGGAAGCGAGCTGGTTTTTGAGAAAGAACTGTGCATTCTCAAAAACCAGCTCGTATCATTTGTTCAAGGCCGCACTGTGGAAGCGGCTTCCCCTGGCATGCTGGCAGAGATGCATGCTGAGAGAGATGCATGCTGGCAGAGATGCATGCTGAGAGAGATGCATGCTGAGAGAGATGCATGCTGACAGAGATGCATGCTGAGAGAGATGCATGCTGAGAGAGATGCATGCTGGCAGAGATGCATGCTGAGAGAGATGCATGCTGAGAGAGATGCATGCTGACAGAGATGCATGCTGGCAGAGATGCATGCTGACAGAGATGCATGCTGACAGAGATGCATGCTGAGAGGGGGGTGATGGAGGAATGGAGGGGAAGCAGAGGGGTGAGGGAGAGGGTGTATGAAGGGAGAGAGCAGGAAATGTTGAAGGACTTCCCCTGGCATGCTGGCAGAGATGCATGCTGAGAGAGATGCATGCTGAGAGAGATGCATGCTGAGAGAGATGCATGCTGAGAGAGATGCATGCTGGCAGAGATGCATGCTGAGAGAGATGCATGCTGAGAGAGATGCATGCTGAGAGAGATGCATGCTGAGAGAGATGCATGCTGGCAGAGATGCATGCTGAGAGAGATGCATGCTGAGAGAGATGCATGCTGAGAGAGATGCATGCTGAGAGAGATGCATGCTGAGAGAGATGCATGCTGAGAGAGATGCATGCTGAGAGAGATGCATGCTGAGAGAGATGCATGCTGAGAGAGATGCATGCTGAGAGAGATGCATGCTGAGAGAGATGCATGCTGAGAGAGATGCATGCTGAGAGAGATGCATGCTGAGAGAGATGCATGCTGAGAGAGATGCATGCTGAGAGAGATGCATGCTGAGAGAGATGCATGCTGAGAGAGATGCATGCTGAGAGAGATGCATGCTGAGAGAGATGCATGCTGAGAGAGATGCATGCTGAGAGAGATGCATGCTGAGAGAGATGCATGCTGAGAGAGATGCATGCTGAGAGAGATGCATGCTGAGAGAGATGCATGCTGAGAGAGATGCATGCTGAGAGAGATGCATGCTGAGAGAGATGCATGCTGAGAGAGATGCATGCTGAGAGAGATGCATGCTGAGAGAGATGCATGCTGAGAGAGATGCATGCTGGCAGAGATGCATGCTGAGAGAGATGCATGCTGGCAGAGATGCATGCTGAGAGAGATGCATGCTGAGAGGGGGGTGATGGAGGAATGGAGGAGGGGAAGCAGAGGGGTGAGGGAGAGGGTGTATGAAGGGAGAGAGCAAGAAATGTTGAAGGACTTGCAACCTGGTCACTGAAGTGCTTTCCTCTGGGAAGCTGGAAGAGCTGCGTGATTAGAGGGGGATGATGGAGGATATGGGGGCTGAGCTGGGGTTGAGAAGGAGGGATGAGAATGAGGGGAGGGGGTGGAGGGTGAGGGTGGGGGGTGGATATTGTTGAAGGCTTTTTATGGCCAGGTAGTGGCATGCCCTGGGATGCTGGCAGCGAGGGGGTGGCATGCCCTGGGATGCTAGTAGAGTCTGATTTTGAGCAGAGTCTACTCCAGACTCAAACCCAGGCTTTCTCGGCGAGGTAGTGGCAGCGAGGTACTGGCAGCGAGGTAGTGGCATGCTATAGGATGCTGGCAGGGATGACTGAGGGGGAGAGATGAGGGGAGTTGGTGGAGGAGAGAGAGCAGGGGTTTTTGAAGGATTTTCTGGCTGGGTAGTGAGGTGGAAAATCCTCCATGAGCGAGAGCATTTGGGGAAAGAAAGGATGCAGGTGTGGGATGAGGGATGAGGGATGAGGGATGAAGGATGAGGGATGAGGATGCGGGGTGCGGGATGAGGAGGAGAGCGGTAGGTTTTAAAGCCCTTTCCCCCCCCTCCAGTTTTGCGACTCTCCACGAGTATTGACGTGCCTTTATCCTGGCGTAACAAAGAAATGGAGGGGAGGGGGGGGGGATGGAGGAGGATATGGGGGAGTGGAGGGGAATGAAGATCAGGAATGAAGGGATGAGGAGAGGAGGCACGTGTAAAAAGGGATGAAGGGATGAGGAGAGGAGGCACGTGTAAAAAGGGATGAAGGGCTGAGGAGAGGAGGCACGTGTAAAAAGGGATGAAGGGATGAGGAGAGGAGGCACGTGTAAAAAGGGATGAAGGGATGAGGAGAGGAGGCACGTGTAAAAAGGGATGAAGGGCTGGTGGCAGCAGCCACGTGTATTTTTGAGACGTCTCAAAGATCAGGGATGAAGGGATGAAGAGAGGAGGCGGATGAAAGGGATGGGGAGTGATGAGGAGGAGGGATGGGGTGTGATGAGGAGGAGGAATGGGGAGTGATGAGGAGGAGGAATGGGGTGTGATGAGGAGGAGGAATGGGGTGTGATGAGGAGGAGGAATGGGGAGTGATGAGGAGGAGGAATGGGGTGTGATGAGGAGGAGGGATGGGGAGTGATGAGGAGGAGGAATGGGGTGTGATGAGGAGGAGGAATGGGGTGTGATGAGGAGGAGGAATGGGGTGTGATGAGGAGGAGGAATGGGGTGTGATGAGGAGGAGGAATGGGGAGTGATGAGGAGGAGGAATGGGGAGTGATGAGGAGGAGGGATGGGGAGTGATGAGGAGGAGGACTGGGGTGTGATGAGGAGGAGGAATGGGGTGTGATGAGGAGGAGGAATGGGGTGTGATGAGGAGGAGGAATGGGGTGTGATGAGGAGGAGGAATGGGGTGTGATGAGGAGGAGGAATGGGGAGTGATGAGGAGGAGGAATGGGGTGTGATGAGGAGGAGGGATGGGGAGTGATGAGGAGGAGGAATGGGGTGTGATGAGGAGGAGGAATGGGGTGTGATGAGGAGGAGGAATGGGGTGTGATGAGGAGGAGGAATGGGGTGTGATGAGGAGGAGGAATGGGGAGTGATGAGGAGGAGGAATGGGGTGTGATGAGGAGGAGGGATGGGGAGTGATGAGGAGGAGGAATGGGGTGTGATAAGGAGGAGGAATGGGGTGTGATGAGGAGGAGGAATGGGGTGTGATGAGGAGGAGGAATGGGGAGTGATGAGGAGGAGGAATGGGGTGTGATGAGGAGGAGGGATGGGGAGTGATGAGGAGGAGGAATGGGGTGTGATGAGGAGGAGGAATGGGGTGTGATGAGGAGGAGGGATGGGGAGTGATGAGGAGGAGGAATGGGGTGTGATGAGGAGGAAGAATGGGGTGTGATGAGGAGGAGGAATGGGGAGTGATGAGGAGGAGGAATGGGGTGTGATGAGGAGGAGGGATGGGGAGTGATGAGGAGGAGGAATGGGGTGTGATGAGGAGGAGGAATGGGGTGTTATGAGGACGAGGAATGGGGTGTGATGAGGAGGAGGAATGGGGAGTGATGAGGAGGAGGAATGGGGAGTGATGAGGAGGAGGGATGGGGAGTGATGAGGAGGAGGAATGGGGTGTGATGAGGAGGAGGAATGGGGTGTGATGAGGAGGAGGGATGGGGTGTGATGAGGAGGAGGGATGGGGAGTGATGAGGAGGAGGAATGGGGTGTGATGAGGAGGAGGAATGGGGTGTGATGAGGAGGAGGAATGGGGTGTGATGAGGAGGAGGGATGGGGAGTGATGAGGAGGAGGAATGGGGTGTGATGAGGAGGAGGAATGGGGTGTGATGAGGAGGAGGGATGGGGTGTGATGAGGAGGAGGGATGGGGAGTGATGAGGAGGAGGAATGGGGTGTGATGAGGAGGAGGAATGGGGTGTGATGAGGAGGAGGAATGGGGTGTGATGAGGAGGAGGAATGGGGAGTGATGAGGAGGAGGAATGGGGTGTGATGAGGAGGAGGAATGGGGAGTGATGAGGAGGAGGAATGGGGAGTGATGAGGAGGAGGAATGGGGTGTGATGAGGAGGAGGAATGGGGTGTGATGAGGAGGAGGAATGGGGAGTGATGAGGAGGAGGAATGGGGAGTGATGAGGAGGAGGAATGGGGTGTGATGAGGAGGAGGAATGGGGTGTGATGAGGAGGAGGAATGGGGTGTGATGAGGAGGAGGAATGGGGTGTGATGAGGAGGAGGAATGGGGTGTGATGAGGAGGAGTAATGGGGTGTGATGAGGAGGAGGAATGGGGTGTGATGAGGAGGAGGAATGGGGTGTGCAAAACAGTTCCAGTTGCTACCAGCTTTGACTCTCCCCAACTGTGGGCTTGAGGTGCCGTTTCCTGGAATAAGGGCAGAGCTGAATTGCCGAAGGGGGAAGAAAGGAGGAGAATGGAGGGAGATGAGGGGGATGAGGAGGAAGTGTCAGGGTTGGTTGATGGGTGGTTCTGAGAATAAAGAAACGCTAACGAGGCGCAAAGGTTGCTGCGGCTCTTTCTTCTCTCTCCGCCTAGTACAACACGAGATTGATGGAAGTAAGGCCTTTGCAGCCCACCTGTCCTCTCTTGTCGGCTCTTTCTTCTCACTCCGCCTAACAATCCTGCAGGAATTGGGGAAGGCAGGAAACGAAGCCCCTCCACTCCACAGAGAATAACAGGCGGAGAGCCGAGTGGAAACTTCAACTCCATTCAACTGGGGAAGGCAGGAAACTGGGGAAGCCGAATAACTTCAACTCCATTCAACTGGGGAAGGCAGGAAACTGGGGAAGCCGAATAACTTCAACTCCATTCAACTGGGGAAGGCAGGAAACTGGGGAAGCCGAATAACTTCAACTCCATTCAACTGGGGAAGGCAGGAAACTGGGGAAGCCGAATAACTTCAACTCCATTCAACTGGGGAAGGCAGGAAACTGGGGAAGCCGAATAACTTCAACTCCATTCAACTGGGGAAGGCAGGAAACTGGGGAAGCCGAATAACTTCAACTCCATTCAACTGGGGAAGGCAGGAAACGAAGCCCCTCCACTCCACCCATTCAAGCAACCGTTTCAGCAGAAGCTGTGCGGCATCACAGAGAATAACAGGCGGAGAGCCGCGTGGAAACTTCAACTTTTTTAGGTGCCTCAACAGACCTCTCTCTCCACTCCACCCATTGAAGCAACCATTTCAGCAGCAGCTGTGCGCCATCACAGAGAATAACTGGCGGAAGACCGGATCACGTCCGGCTTTCAGAAGGTTCCTGTGTGGAGCTGTGTTGAATAACGCATGGCTGCTGGAAATAATTCGGATGCGGGATAGCAAAGGGGAGAGGCAGGAAACAAGGCTCCTCCACGCCACCCATGCATGCATGAATGCATGCAGCCGTTCATTCAGCATCTGTGCGGCATCGCAAAGAAAGAATACCGTAATCGGCGGAAAACCAGATGATGGAAAATCCAAAGTACATCTTCTCAGCAGGGTTACATAACGTACGGCTGCAAGTGATACGCAGGGATAGATAGATAGCAGATGGGGAAATTCTAGAAGAGGAAAAATACAATGATTTGTTGAGTGTTTCCAAGATTCACGGCACAGTTGAAAAGGCTTGCACCGTATGCTGCTTGGATCTCTGACTACTGGCAGGGTGCCAGTGCCTTTTCATATGCAGCCAGTTCCACACACAGTGTCCTGTAGGCTGACTCTCTGGTGCATAATAAACAGAGACTATTGGCATGCCACGGCACTGCACCAGACGTCTACATACAGTTTCATTTATACAATTGGACTTACCGTTACCTACCTTACCTTACTCTATCCAAACATGAATGCACCATAACGTTATCCAAACATTCTAATGCATGGAAACGCTATCCTAAAAACAGTGGTGTCTGTTGCATATGATCTGTGCCTAACCATTAAAAAACAGGCCCCATATATATGAGTTAGTGAGGGTGCCTTGTAGTACGGTAATCTGCCATACCCACCAAGAAAAACTCTTGCTGTATCACTCTGAAACACTTCCTCACTGGTTGGAGTGCCTTGTTTGTTGGCTGTATATAATATATTTAAGATTCCGTATTGGAAAGACAGTACAGTACACCATTCCATGATTGTATAAATTTCCGTATGTTTTGGAAGCATAAGTCTGCCGAGGCAAGGCTGCCTTTGTTCGACTCCAAGGATAGAAACATATATATACCGGGCCTGTTTACCATTTGAGGCGCCTCAAAATTCGTCTGATGGTCACTCCAAGGACAGAGATATGGAGCCTGTTTTCCTTTTGAGACGCCTCAAAAGTGTGTTCGCGTGTCCTTTAGTTATTCTCTTATGGTGACTCCAAGGACAGAAATATATACGGGGCCTGAAACGTTTAGGGACTTTGACTGCGTGCGTGCGGCTGCATGCGCGCGGCTGCTGCCTAGGGCGGGGCGCGGGCTGCTAACGGGCAGGGCGGGGCCGGCTAACGAGCGGGGCGGGGCCTGCTAGGAACGAAGCGGGTCTAGGAACGGAGCGAGCTAGGAACAAACGTCAATGATACCTCTAGCAAAATGATCGAACTAGGGAATACAAATACAAACCCTTATCCTCCCTATTGTGCGCCTCACTATAGCCCTAAATACAAATATATAGTTTGACAGAAGGCTATGATCGACTTTGTAACGATGGTTCGGAAACGATTATGAAAGCCTTGTTTGTTCATGGAGTTGGAAAAGGCCTGTTCTGCTGAAGGTTCGAACTTCTTAGTTGCTCAATATACGGTAGAGTGCAGCCCAATGGGAAATTGATATTGGAGCCCAGTCTTGCGCTGCCATGCCACTGCACCAGCAGTCAAGGCAATACCTGAACTGATCAGGCCTGTACTGTACGGACCACTTTCCTTATGCATGCAGGTGTTACCGTATGAACCCCGCTTGAGCTGATTCAAATTATACCGTCTATTACCGTACGACCACACTCCTAAACCATCCACCATCCACGCACAACCACCCTGCTTCACCATCTATTTACGCTTTTTTTTTTTTCCGGTTTCACGGATTTCTTTGCTGTTCTGCTGTGCTGCTACTCTCCATAGGCAGCGAGTGCAGCAAAAAATGCAGGAAAGTCCTCGCCACAGCATCTCCCACCGCCCCCCGCACAACCGGCTTCGTCCGCTTCTGCCCGCCCAAAAAGCACGAGTAATGATGATCCCCAGGACACGTGTCGCCGTACCGCGGCGCCTCCACGGCCCACGAGTCAAACACCGCCATCTCAGCGCCTCTCGTCACTGACGCCGCCAGCTGGCGCGCGTGCCGATTGGCCGCAGCCAGGTACAGGTTTGTCGCGGGGCCCGCAAAACCCCGTTTGACCGCATACTCCGAGCAATGCGAGCCGGCGTTCGGGACGGGCGGCGGCGTTCGGAAGACAACGCGGGCGTGGTTGGCCCGGGCGGCGAGGAGCGCCCAGATGAAGAACTCGGGGAGGCGGGCGCGGAGGGCTTGCAGCGGCTCGGCACACCACTTGCCGGCCCAGTAGCCGCCCTCTATGACTGTCACGTTGGCTGTGGTGGAGATGTTGGGGAAGGTGTGGTAGTTGTGCGTGTACTGCCCCCTCAACCTGCACTCAGGGAGGGGGGAGGATCTTTGTTGAGATACAAAGCTATGAAAGTCTTTTCCGTCTACTAGTGAGGCATCCAGACCGGCCTATTTAGAAACAAGTCGCCAGAATTCTGTGTGCGTGTGTGTGTGCGTGTGTGTGTGTGTGTATGTGTGTGTATGTGTGTGTTTTCTTCCACGAATCTTGAAGAGTCAACTGGGCCTGCTGCCGCTCACCTGGACTGGGGCATATGCACATGCATTTGTGTGGTGTGGACTACTCGTTTGCAGAAACAAGGGGCAAAGAGAGGGAGGGAAGGGAGGTGAGAAGTAGGCCCCACACATTTTCCTACTCACGATTCCTGTTAAAACCGCCTTCCCTTGACTCCCAGCCTTGAGACGACTCACAACTTGTGTGAGACTGATGCGACTTTTGAGAATTCTCAAAAGTCGCATCACTAAAACCGCCTACCCTTGACTCCCAGCCTTGAGACGACTCACAACTTGTGTGAGGTTGATGAATGGATGAGTGGGAAGGGCGGTGAGAGAAGAGGGGGCAGGGCACCCACAGGAAGCTGTATTCACGATTCCTGTAACTGCCATCCACCCAGTGTAAGTTGATTCGCAGCTTGTGTGAGGTTGATGGAAGGAGGAGTGGGAAGATTGGGGAGCAGAAAAGGCACTCACGAGCAGCCGTATTCGCGGTTCCTGTAAATGACGTCCACCCAGTAGAGGATTACTTGCAGCTAATGAGAGAGTGGAGGAATAGTAAGAGAGGTGAGAGGAGTAGAAAGAGCACTCACGAGCAGCCGTATTCGCGGTTCCTGTAAATGCCGTCCACCCAGTAGAAGTTGATTCGCAGAACCTTGCCCGAGCGCTCATCCGTGACAGTGAAGTTCATGTCTTCGTGCGACCGCACCATGCGCTCGTCCGCGAAGCCTGTTGTTAGGGGGGTTGCAGGGGGAGGGGAGAGGGAACGGGGGGGGATAAAGGTTCTCCTTGCCCGAGCGCTCATCCGTGACAGTGAAGTTCATGTCTTCGTGCGACCGAACCATGCGCTCGTCCGCGAAGCCTGGAGGAGGGAGATGGGACGAGTCACGAGAGTTCAAATGGGAAGGGTGTGGGGATGAGGCTGTTTGCCCGAGCGCTCGCCAGTAGGAGTGAAGTTCATGTCTTCGTGCGACCGAACCATGCGCTCGTCTGCGAAGCCTGGAGGAGGGAGGGCGGGGGGCGAAGGGGTAGCGGGGGGAGGAAGAGGGGCGGTGGGAAAGAGGCTCTCCCTGTTAGCATCATCTGTGACAGCCAAGTTCATTTCCTCGTGTCATCTCACCATGCGCTCGTCTGCGAAGCCTGTCGTTGGGGGGGGAAGGGAGGAAGGTTCATGTGAGCACATCCTAATCTGTGAGCGCTCATCAATGCCATCCTCCCTGTTGGGGGGGGAAGGGAGTGAAGTTCAATGTCATCTCACCATGCGCTCGTCTGCGAAGCCTGGTGGAGGGAAAAAGGGAGTGGGGAGAAAGGAGAAGGGGAAGAAGAGAGGGGGGGGAAGGGGGAAAGGTTCTTCCTGTGAGCGCTCATCAGAGAGTGAAGGGGGGAAGCAGCAAAAAACTGCGCCCTGACAGGCTGGCAGCCCACCTGTCTGCTTCTGACAGCCCTGACAGGCTGGCAGGTACTTCAGGTGAAAAGGTGACTTTTGAGTCGACTCAAATTTAAACTGCACCCTGACAGGCTGGCAGATACTTCAGGTGAAAAAACAGGGAGTCCACATCACAGGTGAAACGAAAGCAACAGAGAACCGCACTTGCAGGAGGTACCTCAGGCGAAACTAGAGAAACAGACACATACCTGACAGGAGATATCTCAGGTGGAACGACAGCACGCGCTGGTGAGAGTCCCCCACGATATTGATCTCCTGAATGCCCTTCCGCACCAGCTGCGCCACCCACCCTGACGGACGCTTCGGCTCCTTGGGAGAGCACGGGAAGAAGCGCCACCTGACAAGGGGGGATATAGAGGGGGATAGTGTTTTGTTAGGATGTCCTTCCGCACCAGTTGCGCCACCCACCCTGACGTGACGGACGCTTCGGCTCCTTGGGAGAGCACGGGTAGAAGCGCCACCTGCCAGGGCGGCTATAAAGGGACAGGGGAGGAGGGGTGGGGGGGGGGGGGGGGAGCTGCTGTTAGAATGCCCTTCCACACCAGCTGCGCCACCCACCCTGACGGACGCTTCGGCTCCTTGGGAGAGCACGGGAAGAAGCGCCACCTGCCAGGGCAGATAGATGGAAGAGGGGCGGAGGGGGAAGGGGTGTGGAGTGGAGTGTTAGAATGCCCTTCTGCACCAGCTGCGCCACCCACCCTGATGAACGCTTTGGTTCTTTGGGCGAACATGGGAAGAAGCGCCACCTGCCAGGGACGGATATAGAGGGGGTAAAAGCAGGGAAGCTGCTGTTAGAATGCCCTTCTGCACCAGCTGCGCCACCCACCCTGATGGTCGCTTCGGCTACTTGGGCGCGCAAGCACGGTTCGTCACCTGCCAAGGAGGGGAGAGGGGTGGGGAGACGGGGGTTGTGGGGGGATTGGAGGAGGGTGGGTAGAAACGTGTAAAGAGAGCATTTCTGAGACGTCTCAAAAATACAAATTTTACACGGGTGTTGTGGGGGGTTGGAGGAGGGTGGGTGGAAACGTCACCTGCCAAGGAGGACAGAAGGGGCGGTAGGTAGTGTTATGTTAACATGCCCTTCCTTTGAGTCGACTCAAGAACAGGGTGGGTGTAAACGTCACTCTCCTCCAATCCCCCCACAACCACCCTCCCGTGGAAACGTCACCTGCCAAGGAGGACAAAAGGGGCGGTAGGTAGTGTTATGTTAACATGCCCTTCCGCACCCCACAGCTTCTCCGATGCCTCTCCCACATATCACTTGTGCGTCCCTAAAGCCTAGCCCATGCCTCTCCCAAGCCTCTCCCGCGGCTCCCAACAACAACTCACCCGTATCCACCAGTCTTAGACAGCACCCATCGCCCCTTGATGCCTGACACCTGGCAGCTTTCCCATCCTCTTTCCTCTCCCATGATTCACTCACACGCCTCTCCCATGATTCACTCACACGCCTCTCACGTGCCTCCCGACTCACTCATATCCACCAGTCTTGGACAGAACCCATCGCCCCTTGATGCCTGACACCTGGCAGCTTTCCCATCCTCTTTCCTCTCCCATGATTCACTCACACGCCTCTCCCATGATTCACTCACACGCCTCTCACGTGCCTCCCGACTCACTCATATCCGCCAGTCTTGGACAGGACCCATCGCCCCTTGATGCCTGACACCTGGCACGGCGTCATTGGCAGCTTCTCCTCCTCTTCCTCGTCTTCATCCTCCTCCACATCTGCCGCCCCCACCTCCAACAGCCCCCTCCCTTCTACTCCCCTCCCTTCCGCTCCTCTCCCTACCGCTCCTCCACCTCTGCTCGTCTCGCTCTCTTCACCCGCCCCATCATCCTGCCACCTGCCACTCAAGAAGCGGCGAACACCGCTGCTGCTGCTGCTGCTGCTGCTGCTGTCGGTAGCAATGGCGTTGCTGCTGCTTGTGTGCTCACTAATCTTGCTAGGTACAGAAGAGGCAGGGGAGCTTAGATTGTTCCCGTTAGTGATATAGCTGTTAGCATCGGAGTATAAAGTTTCCCCCGTGCCAGTGGCCGCCGCAGCACCAGCTGCAGGAGGAACGTTGGCTGTAGCAGCAAGATTAACAACAGCAGCCGCAGCAGTGGCAGTTGCAGTGGCAGTGGTAGTAGCAGTGGCAGTGGTAGTAGCAGTGGCAGCAGTGCCAGTTGCAGAAGAGGCAAAAGGAGCAGCGGAGGTGGGAGGGAGAGCAAGAGAGCCGTTAGTCCAGGCGGCGTCTCTCCTTTGCGGCACGATTGTGACATTCCACGATGTGAGTACATGGAGGTGCGTCTGACTCAGGTGCTGCTTGTAGTTGGGGGAGAAGCGCAGGTTGGCACAGCCTACGCTCAGAACCGCCCTGGGAGGATTGAGAGAGGAGAGCAATCCATGGGGCGAGGTGAGGAGAATAGAGAGGGAGGGGATGAGGCTGGGCTGCAGACAATACTTTTTGAGAAGTCTCAAAGCGAACGCACTGAAAAGAGAGGATCTCATGGGGCAAAACGGAACAGAGGCGAGATGATGACTTTGGAGTCGACTCAAAAGTCATCACGCTCTGAAAAGAGGGGATCCCATGGGGGGAGGGAAACGGAACAGAGGCAGAGGCGATGAGATAAAACGCTGCTAGTTCAGGGAGCGAGTTTAATCATGCCCTCTGCTGTGCCACAGTGATGATCGACATAACACCCATTTCAACCCGTTTCCACCCATTCCCACCCCCTGGCACGCACCTGCACCGCCCCACGTCCCAGAGACGGTAGGTCAGGTCGAGCTGGGAGCAGGCGGGGGGGACAAGTTGAACCGAACCGAACCATGCCCTCTGCTGTGCCCCCACGACTGCCTGTACTAGTGATGACTGACCGTACACCCATTCCAGCCCATTCCCACCCATTCCCACCCATTCCCACCCCTCCCTCTCCACCCTTTGGCACGCACCTGTACTGCCCCACGTCCCAGAGGCGGTAGGTGCGGGCGAGCTGGGAGCAGGCGGGGGGGTCGAGTTAAACCATGCCCACCCAGTCCAACCCATTCCAACCACTAATAACCCCTTTATTACGCACCTGTACTCCCCCACGTCCCAGAGGCGGTAGGTGAGGTCGAGTTGCGAGCACGCGGGGGGATCGAGGCAGCGCACGTCGCCGTGGGAGAGAGCGGGGCCCTTGAGAATGAGCGTCATGTCCTTCTTCCACCAGCTCGCGTTGGGGTAGATCTGATGTGAGTGAGGGAGATGAGGGAAGGTGTGAGTGAGGGAGATGAGGGAAGGTGTGAGTGAGGGAGATGAGGGAAGGTGTGAGTGAGGGAGATGAGGGAAGGTGTGAGTGAGGGAGATGAGGGAAGGTGTGAGTGAGGGAGATGAGGGAAGGTGTGAGTGAGGGAGATGAGGGAAGGTGTGAGTGAGGGAGATGAGGGAAGGTGTGAGTGAGGGAGATGAGGGAAGGTGTGAGTGAGGGAGATGAGGGAAGGTGTGAGTGAGGGAGATGAGGGAAGGTGTGAGTGAGGGAGATGAGGGAAGGTGTGAGTGAGGGAGATGAGGGAAGGTGTGAGTGAGGGAGATGAGGGAAGGTGTGAGTGAGGGAGATGAGGGAAGGTGTGAGTGAGGGAGATGAGGGAAGGTGTGAGTGAGGGAGATGAGGGAAGGTGTGAGTGAGGGAGATGAGGGAAGGTGTGAGTGAGGGAGATGAGGGAAGGTGTGAGTGAGGGAGATGAGGGAAGGTGTGAGTGAGGGAGATGAGGGAAGGTGTGAGTGAGGGAGATGAGGGAAGGTGTGAGTGAGGGAGATGAGGGAAGGTGTGAGTGAGGGAGATGAGGGAAGGTGTGAGTGAGGGAGATGAGGGAAGGTGTGAGTGAGGGAGATGAGGGAAGGTGTGAGTGAGGGAGATGAGGGAAGGTGTGAGTGAGGGAGATGAGGGAAGGTGTGAGTGAGGGAGATGAGGGAAGGTGTGAGTGAGGGAGATGAGGGAAGGTGTGAGTGAGGGAGATGAGGGAAGGTGTGAGTGAGGGAGATGAGGGAAGGTGTGAGTGAGGGAGATGAGGGAAGGTGTGAGTGAGGGAGATGAGGGAAGGTGTGAGTGAGGGAGATGAGGGAAGGTGTGAGTGAGGGAGATGAGGGAAGGTGTGAGTGAGGGAGATGAGGGAAGGTGTGAGTGAGGGAGATGAGGGAAGGTGTGAGTGAGGGAGATGAGGGAAGGTGTGAGTGAGGGAGATGAGGGAAGGTGTGAGTGAGGGAGATGAGGGAAGGTGTGAGTGAGGGAGATGAGGGAAGGTGTGAGTGAGGGAGATGAGGGAAGGTGTGAGTGAGGGAGATGAGGGAAGGTGTGAGTGAGGGAGATGAGGGAAGGTGTGAGTGAGGGAGATGAGGGAAGGTGTGAGTGAGGGAGATGAGGGAAGGTGTGAGTGAGGGAGATGAGGGAAGGTGTGAGTGAGGGAGATGAGGGAAGGTGTGAGTGAGGGAGATGAGGGAAGGTGTGAGTGAGGGAGATGAGGGAAGGTGTGAGTGAGGGAGATGAGGGAAGGTGTGAGTGAGGGAGATGAGGGAAGGTGTGAGTGAGGGAGATGAGGGAAGGTGTGAGTGAGGGAGATGAGGGAAGGTGTGAGTGAGGGAGATGAGGGAAGGTGTGAGTGAGGGAGATGAGGGAAGGTGTGAGTGAGGGAGATGAGGGAAGGTGTGAGTGAGGGAGATGAGGGAAGGTGTGAGTGAGGGAGATGAGGGAAGGTGTGAGTGAGGGAGATGAGGGAAGGTGTGAGTGAGGGAGATGAGGGAAGGTGTGAGTGAGGGAGATGAGGGAAGGTGTGAGTGAGGGAGATGAGGGAAGGTGTGAGTGAGGGAGATGAGGGAAGGTGTGAGTGAGGGAGATGAGGGAAGGTGTGAGTGAGGGAGATGAGGGAAGGTGTGAGTGAGGGAGATGAGGGAAGGTGTGAGTGAGGGAGATGAGGGAAGGTGTGAGTGAGGGAGATGAGGGAAGGTGTGAGTGAGGGAGATGAGGGAAGGTGTGAGTGAGGGAGATGAGGGAAGGTGTGAGTGAGGGAGATGAGGGAAGGTGTGAGTGAGGGAGATGAGGGAAGGTGTGAGTGAGGGAGATGAGGGAAGGTGTGAGTGAGGGAGATGAGGGAAGGTGTGAGTGAGGGAGATGAGGGAAGGTGTGAGTGAGGGAGATGAGGGAAGGTGTGAGTGAGGGAGATGAGGGAAGGTGTGAGTGAGGGAGATGAGGGAAGGTGTGAGTGAGGGAGATGAGGGAAGGTGTGAGTGAGGGAGATGAGGGAAGGTGTGAGTGAGGGAGATGAGGGAAGGTGTGAGTGAGGGAGATGAGGGAAGGTGTGAGTGAGGGAGATGAGGGAAGGTGTGAGTGAGGGAGATGAGGGAAGGTGTGAGTGAGGGAGATGAGGGAAGGTGTGAGTGAGGGAGATGAGGGAAGGTGTGAGTGAGGGAGATGAGGGAAGGTGTGAGTGAGGGAGATGAGGGAAGGTGTGAGTGAGGGAGATGAGGGAAGGTGTGAGTGAGGGAGATGAGGGAAGGTGTGAGTGAGGGAGATGAGGGAAGGTGTGAGTGAGGGAGATGAGGGAAGGTGTGAGTGAGGGAGATGAGGGAAGGTGTGAGTGAGGGAGATGAGGGAAGGTGTGAGTGAGGGAGATGAGGGAAGGTGTGAGTGAGGGAGATGAGGGAAGGTGTGAGTGAGGGAGATGAGGGAAGGTGTGAGTGAGGGAGATGAGGGAAGGTGTGAGTGAGGGAGATGAGGGAAGGTGTGAGTGAGGGAGATGAGGGAAGGTGTGAGTGAGGGAGATGAGGGAAGGTGTGAGTGAGGGAGATGAGGGAAGGTGTGAGTGAGGGAGATGAGGGAAGGTGTGAGTGAGGGAGATGAGGGAAGGTGTGAGTGAGGGAGATGAGGGAAGGTGTGAGTGAGGGAGATGAGGGAAGGTGTGAGTGAGGGAGATGAGGGAAGGTGTGAGTGAGGGAGATGAGGGAAGGTGTGAGTGAGGGAGATGAGGGAAGGTGTGAGTGAGGGAGATGAGGGAAGGTGTGAGTGAGGGAGATGAGGGAAGGTGTGAGTGAGGGAGATGAGGGAAGGTGTGAGTGAGGGAGATGAGGGAAGGTGTGAGTGAGGGAGATGAGGGAAGGTGTGAGTGAGGGAGATGAGGGAAGGTGTGAGTGAGGGAGATGAGGGAAGGTGTGAGTGAGGGAGATGAGGGAAGGTGTGAGTGAGGGAGATGAGGGAAGGTGTGAGTGAGGGAGATGAGGGAAGGTGTGAGTGAGGGAGATGAGGGAAGGTGTGAGTGAGGGAGATGAGGGAAGGTGTGAGTGAGGGAGATGAGGGAAGGTGTGAGTGAGGGAGATGAGGGAAGGTGTGAGTGAGGGAGATGAGGGAAGGTGTGAGTGAGGGAGATGAGGGAAGGTGTGAGTGAGGGAGATGAGGGAAGGTGTGAGTGAGGGAGATGAGGGAAGGTGTGAGTGAGGGAGATGAGGGAAGGTGTGAGTGAGGGAGATGAGGGAAGGTGTGAGTGAGGGAGATGAGGGAAGGTGTGAGTGAGGGAGATGAGGGAAGGTGTGAGTGAGGGAGATGAGGGAAGGTGTGAGTGAGGGAGATGAGGGAAGGTGTGAGTGAGGGAGATGAGGGAAGGTGTGAGTGAGGGAGATGAGGGAAGGTGTGAGTGAGGGAGATGAGGGAAGGTGTGAGTGAGGGAGATGAGGGAAGGTGTGAGTGAGGGAGATGAGGGAAGGTGTGAGTGAGGGAGATGAGGGAAGGTGTGAGTGAGGGAGATGAGGGAAGGTGTGAGTGAGGGAGATGAGGGAAGGTGTGAGTGAGGGAGATGAGGGAAGGTGTGAGTGAGGGAGATGAGGGAAGGTGTGAGTGAGGGAGATGAGGGAAGGTGTGAGTGAGGGAGATGAGGGAAGGTGTGAGTGAGGGAGATGAGGGAAGGTGTGAGTGAGGGAGATGAGGGAAGGTGTGAGTGAGGGAGATGAGGGAAGGTGTGAGTGAGGGAGATGAGGGAAGGTGTGAGTGAGGGAGATGAGGGAAGGTGTGAGTGAGGGAGATGAGGGAAGGTGTGAGTGAGGGAGATGAGGGAAGGTGTGAGTGAGGGAGATGAGGGAAGGTGTGAGTGAGGGAGATGAGGGAAGGTGTGAGTGAGGGAGATGAGGGAAGGTGTGAGTGAGGGAGATGAGGGAAGGTGTGAGTGAGGGAGATGAGGGAAGGTGTGAGTGAGGGAGATGAGGGAAGGTGTGAGTGAGGGAGATGAGGGAAGGTGTGAGTGAGGGAGATGAGGGAAGGTGTGAGTGAGGGAGATGAGGGAAGGTGTGAGTGAGGGAGATGAGGGAAGGTGTGAGTGAGGGAGATGAGGGAAGGTGTGAGTGAGGGAGATGAGGGAAGGTGTGAGTGAGGGAGATGAGGGAAGGTGTGAGTGAGGGAGATGAGGGAAGGTGTGAGTGAGGGAGATGAGGGAAGGTGTGAGTGAGGGAGATGAGGGAAGGTGTGAGTGAGGGAGATGAGGGAAGGTGTGAGTGAGGGAGATGAGGGAAGGTGTGAGTGAGGGAGATGAGGGAAGGTGTGAGTGAGGGAGATGAGGGAAGGTGTGAGTGAGGGAGATGAGGGAAGGTGTGAGTGAGGGAGATGAGGGAAGGTGTGAGTGAGGGAGATGAGGGAAGGTGTGAGTGAGGGAGATGAGGGAAGGTGTGAGTGAGGGAGATGAGGGAAGGTGTGAGTGAGGGAGATGAGGGAAGGTGTGAGTGAGGGAGATGAGGGAAGGTGTGAGTGAGGGAGATGAGGGAAGGTGTGAGTGAGGGAGATGAGGGAAGGTGTGAGTGAGGGAGATGAGGGAAGGTGTGAGTGAGGGAGATGAGGGAAGGTGTGAGTGAGGGAGATGAGGGAAGGTGTGAGTGAGGGAGATGAGGGAAGGTGTGAGTGAGGGAGATGAGGGAAGGTGTGAGTGAGGGAGATGAGGGAAGGTGTGAGTGAGGGAGATGAGGGAAGGTGTGAGTGAGGGAGATGAGGGAAGGTGTGAGTGAGGGAGATGAGGGAAGGTGTGAGTGAGGGAGATGAGGGAAGGTGTGAGTGAGGGAGATGAGGGAAGGTGTGAGTGAGGGAGATGAGGGAAGGTGTGAGTGAGGGAGATGAGGGAAGGTGTGAGTGAGGGAGATGAGGGAAGGTGTGAGTGAGGGAGATGAGGGAAGGTGTGAGTGAGGGAGATGAGGGAAGGTGTGAGTGAGGGAGATGAGGGAAGGTGTGAGTGAGGGAGATGAGGGAAGGTGTGAGTGAGGGAGATGAGGGAAGGTGTGAGTGAGGGAGATGAGGGAAGGTGTGAGTGAGGGAGATGAGGGAAGGTGTGAGTGAGGGAGATGAGGGAAGGTGTGAGTGAGGGAGATGAGGGAAGGTGTGAGTGAGGGAGATGAGGGAAGGTGTGAGTGAGGGAGATGAGGGAAGGTGTGAGTGAGGGAGATGAGGGAAGGTGTGAGTGAGGGAGATGAGGGAAGGTGTGAGTGAGGGAGATGAGGGAAGGTGTGAGTGAGGGAGATGAGGGAAGGTGTGAGTGAGGGAGATGAGGGAAGGTGTGAGTGAGGGAGATGAGGGAAGGTGTGAGTGAGGGAGATGAGGGAAGGTGTGAGTGAGGGAGATGAGGGAAGGTGTGAGTGAGGGAGATGAGGGAAGGTGTGAGTGAGGGAGATGAGGGAAGGTGTGAGTGAGGGAGATGAGGGAAGGTGTGAGTGAGGGAGATGAGGGAAGGTGTGAGTGAGGGAGATGAGGGAAGGTGTGAGTGAGGGAGATGAGGGAAGGTGTGAGTGAGGGAGATGAGGGAAGGTGTGAGTGAGGGAGATGAGGGAAGGTGTGAGTGAGGGAGATGAGGGAAGGTGTGAGTGAGGGAGATGAGGGAAGGTGTGAGTGAGGGAGATGAGGGAAGGTGTGAGTGAGGGAGATGAGGGAAGGTGTGAGTGAGGGAGATGAGGGAAGGTGTGAGTGAGGGAGATGAGGGAAGGTGTGAGTGAGGGAGATGAGGGAAGGTGTGAGTGAGGGAGATGAGGGAAGGTGTGAGTGAGGGAGATGAGGGAAGGTGTGAGTGAGGGAGATGAGGGAAGGTGTGAGTGAGGGAGATGAGGGAAGGTGTGAGTGAGGGAGATGAGGGAAGGTGTGAGTGAGGGAGATGAGGGAAGGTGTGAGTGAGGGAGATGAGGGAAGGTGTGAGTGAGGGAGATGAGGGAAGGTGTGAGTGAGGGAGATGAGGGAAGGTGTGAGTGAGGGAGATGAGGGAAGGTGTGAGTGAGGGAGATGAGGGAAGGTGTGAGTGAGGGAGATGAGGGAAGGTGTGAGTGAGGGAGATGAGGGAAGGTGTGAGTGAGGGAGATGAGGGAAGGTGTGAGTGAGGGAGATGAGGGAAGGTGTGAGTGAGGGAGATGAGGGAAGGTGTGAGTGAGGGAGATGAGGGAAGGTGTGAGTGAGGGAGATGAGGGAAGGTGTGAGTGAGGGAGATGAGGGAAGGTGTGAGTGAGGGAGATGAGGGAAGGTGTGAGTGAGGGAGATGAGGGAAGGTGTGAGTGAGGGAGATGAGGGAAGGTGTGAGTGAGGGAGATGAGGGAAGGTGTGAGTGAGGGAGATGAGGGAAGGTGTGAGTGAGGGAGATGAGGGAAGGTGTGAGTGAGGGAGATGAGGGAAGGTGTGAGTGAGGGAGATGAGGGAAGGTGTGAGTGAGGGAGATGAGGGAAGGTGTGAGTGAGGGAGATGAGGGAAGGTGTGAGTGAGGGAGATGAGGGAAGGTGTGAGTGAGGGAGATGAGGGAAGGTGTGAGTGAGGGAGATGAGGGAAGGTGTGAGTGAGGGAGATGAGGGAAGGTGTGAGTGAGGGAGATGAGGGAAGGTGTGAGTGAGGGAGATGAGGGAAGGTGTGAGTGAGGGAGATGAGGGAAGGTGTGAGTGAGGGAGATGAGGGAAGGTGTGAGTGAGGGAGATGAGGGAAGGTGTGAGTGAGGGAGATGAGGGAAGGTGTGAGTGAGGGAGATGAGGGAAGGTGTGAGTGAGGGAGATGAGGGAAGGTGTGAGTGAGGGAGATGAGGGAAGGTGTGAGTGAGGGAGATGAGGGAAGGTGTGAGTGAGGGAGATGAGGGAAGGTGTGAGTGAGGGAGATGAGGGAAGGTGTGAGTGAGGGAGATGAGGGAAGGTGTGAGTGAGGGAGATGAGGGAAGGTGTGAGTGAGGGAGATGAGGGAAGGTGTGAGTGAGGGAGATGAGGGAAGGTGTGAGTGAGGGAGATGAGGGAAGGTGTGAGTGAGGGAGATGAGGGAAGGTGTGAGTGAGGGAGATGAGGGAAGGTGTGAGTGAGGGAGATGAGGGAAGGTGTGAGTGAGGGAGATGAGGGAAGGTGTGAGTGAGGGAGATGAGGGAAGGTGTGAGTGAGGGAGATGAGGGAAGGTGTGAGTGAGGGAGATGAGGGAAGGTGTGAGTGAGGGAGATGAGGGAAGGTGTGAGTGAGGGAGATGAGGGAAGGTGTGAGTGAGGGAGATGAGGGAAGGTGTGAGTGAGGGAGATGAGGGAAGGTGTGAGTGAGGGAGATGAGGGAAGGTGTGAGTGAGGGAGATGAGGGAAGGTGTGAGTGAGGGAGATGAGGGAAGGTGTGAGTGAGGGAGATGAGGGAAGGTGTGAGTGAGGGAGATGAGGGAAGGTGTGAGTGAGGGAGATGAGGGAAGGTGTGAGTGAGGGAGATGAGGGAAGGTGTGAGTGAGGGAGATGAGGGAAGGTGTGAGTGAGGGAGATGAGGGAAGGTGTGAGTGAGGGAGATGAGGGAAGGTGTGAGTGAGGGAGATGAGGGAAGGTGTGAGTGAGGGAGATGAGGGAAGGTGTGAGTGAGGGAGATGAGGGAAGGTGTGAGTGAGGGAGATGAGGGAAGGTGTGAGTGAGGGAGATGAGGGAAGGTGTGAGTGAGGGAGATGAGGGAAGGTGTGAGTGAGGGAGATGAGGGAAGGTGTGAGTGAGGGAGATGAGGGAAGGTGTGAGTGAGGGAGATGAGGGAAGGTGTGAGTGAGGGAGATGAGGGAAGGTGTGAGTGAGGGAGATGAGGGAAGGTGTGAGTGAGGGAGATGAGGGAAGGTGTGAGTGAGGGAGATGAGGGAAGGTGTGAGTGAGGGAGATGAGGGAAGGTGTGAGTGAGGGAGATGAGGGAAGGTGTGAGTGAGGGAGATGAGGGAAGGTGTGAGTGAGGGAGATGAGGGAAGGTGTGAGTGAGGGAGATGAGGGAAGGTGTGAGTGAGGGAGATGAGGGAAGGTGTGAGTGAGGGAGATGAGGGAAGGTGTGAGTGAGGGAGATGAGGGAAGGTGTGAGTGAGGGAGATGAGGGAAGGTGTGAGTGAGGGAGATGAGGGAAGGTGTGAGTGAGGGAGATGAGGGAAGGTGTGAGTGAGGGAGATGAGGGAAGGTGTGAGTGAGGGAGATGAGGGAAGGTGTGAGTGAGGGAGATGAGGGAAGGTGTGAGTGAGGGAGATGAGGGAAGGTGTGAGTGAGGGAGATGAGGGAAGGTGTGAGTGAGGGAGATGAGGGAAGGTGTGAGTGAGGGAGATGAGGGAAGGTGTGAGTGAGGGAGATGAGGGAAGGTGTGAGTGAGGGAGATGAGGGAAGGTGTGAGTGAGGGAGATGAGGGAAGGTGTGAGTGAGGGAGATGAGGGAAGGTGTGAGTGAGGGAGATGAGGGAAGGTGTGAGTGAGGGAGATGAGGGAAGGTGTGAGTGAGGGAGATGAGGGAAGGTGTGAGTGAGGGAGATGAGGGAAGGTGTGAGTGAGGGAGATGAGGGAAGGTGTGAGTGAGGGAGATGAGGGAAGGTGTGAGTGAGGGAGATGAGGGAAGGTGTGAGTGAGGGAGATGAGGGAAGGTGTGAGTGAGGGAGATGAGGGAAGGTGTGAGTGAGGGAGATGAGGGAAGGTGTGAGTGAGGGAGATGAGGGAAGGTGTGAGTGAGGGAGATGAGGGAAGGTGTGAGTGAGGGAGATGAGGGAAGGTGTGAGTGAGGGAGATGAGGGAAGGTGTGAGTGAGGGAGATGAGGGAAGGTGTGAGTGAGGGAGATGAGGGAAGGTGTGAGTGAGGGAGATGAGGGAAGGTGTGAGTGAGGGAGATGAGGGAAGGTGTGAGTGAGGGAGATGAGGGAAGGTGTGAGTGAGGGAGATGAGGGAAGGTGTGAGTGAGGGAGATGAGGGAAGGTGTGAGTGAGGGAGATGAGGGAAGGTGTGAGTGAGGGAGATGAGGGAAGGTGTGAGTGAGGGAGATGAGGGAAGGTGTGAGTGAGGGAGATGAGGGAAGGTGTGAGTGAGGGAGATGAGGGAAGGTGTGAGTGAGGGAGATGAGGGAAGGTGTGAGTGAGGGAGATGAGGGAAGGTGTGAGTGAGGGAGATGAGGGAAGGTGTGAGTGAGGGAGATGAGGGAAGGTGTGAGTGAGGGAGATGAGGGAAGGTGTGAGTGAGGGAGATGAGGGAAGGTGTGAGTGAGGGAGATGAGGGAAGGTGTGAGTGAGGGAGATGAGGGAAGGTGTGAGTGAGGGAGATAGGGAAGGTGTGAGTGAGGGAGATGAGGGAAGGTGTGAGTGAGGGAGATGAGGGAAGGTGTGAGTGAGGGAGATGAGGGAAGGTGTGAGTGAGGGAGATGAGGGAAGGTGTGAGTGAGGGAGATGAGGGAAGGTGTGAGTGAGGGAGATGAGGGAAGGTGTGAGTGAGGGAGATGAGGGAAGGTGTGAGTGAGGGAGATGAGGGAAGGTTGTGAGTGAGGGAGATGAGGGAAGGTGTGAGTGAGGGAGATGAGGGAAGGTGTGAGTGAGGGAGATGAGGGAAGGTGTGAGTGAGGGAGATGAGGGAAGGTGTGAGTGAGGGAGATGAGGGAAGGTGTGAGTGAGGGAGATGAGGGAAGGTGTGAGTGAGGGAGATGAGGGAAGGTGTGAGTGAGGGAGATGAGGGAAGGTGTGAGTGAGGGAGATGAGGGAAGGTGTGAGTGAGGGAGATGAGGGAAGGTGTGAGTGAGGGAGGGGAGATGAGGGAAGGTGTGAGTGAGGGAGATGAGGGAAGGTGTGAGTGAGGGAGATGAGGGAAGGTGTGAGTGAGGGAGATGAGGGAAGGTGTGAGTGAGGGAGATGAGGGAAGGTGTGAGTGAGGGAGATGAGGGAAGGTGTGAGTGAGGGAGATGAGGGAAGGTGTGAGTGAGGGAGATGAGGGAAGGTGTGAGTGAGGGAGATGAGGGAAGGTGTGAGTGAGGGAGATGAGGGAAGGTGTGAGTGAGGGAGATGAGGGAAGGTGTGAGTGAGGGAGATGAGGGAAGGTGTGAGTGAGGGAGATGAGGGAAGGTGTGAGTGAGGGAGATGAGGGAAGGTGTGAGTGAGGGAGATGAGGGAAGGTGTTGTGAGTGAGGGAGATGAGGGAAGGTGTGAGTGAGGGAGATGAGGGAAGGTGTGAGTGAGGGAGATGAGGGAAGGTGTGAGTGAGGGAGATGAGGGAAGGTGTGAGTGAGGGAGATGAGGGAAGGTGTGAGTGAGGGAGATGAGGGAAGGTGTGAGTGAGGGAGATGAGGGAAGGTGTGAGTGAGGGAGATGAGGGAAGGTGTGAGTGAGGGAGATGAGGGAAGGTGTGAGTGAGGGAGATGAGGGAAGGTGTGAGTGAGGGAGATGAGGGAAGGTGTGAGTGAGGGAGATGAGGGAAGGTGTGAGTGAGGGAGATGAGGGAAGGTGTGAGTGAGGGAGATGAGGGAAGGTGTGAGTGAGGGAGATGAGGGAAGGTGTGAGTGAGGGAGATGAGGGAAGGTGTGAGTGAGGGAGATGAGGGAAGGTGTGAGTGAGGGAGATGAGGGAAGGTGTGAGTGAGGGAGATGAGGGAAGGTGTGAGTGAGGGAGATGAGGGAAGGTGTGAGTGAGGGAGATGAGGGAAGGTGTGAGTGAGGGAGATGAGGGAAGGTTGTGAGTGAGGGAGATGAGGGAAGGTGTGAGTGAGGGAGATGAGGGAAGGTTGTGAGTGAGGGAGATGAGGGAAGGTGTGAGTGAGGGAGATGAGGGAAGGTGTGAGTGAGGGAGATGAGGGAAGGTGTGAGTGAGGGAGATGAGGGAAGGTGTGAGTGAGGGAGATGAGGGAAGGTGTGAGTGAGGGAGATGAGGGAAGGTGTGAGTGAGGGAGATGAGGGAAGGTTGTGAGTGAGGGAGATGAGGGAAGGTGTGAGTGAGGGAGATGAGGGAAGGTGTGAGTGAGGGAGATGAGGGAAGGTGTGAGTGAGGGAGATGAGGAAGGTGTGAGTGAGGGAGATGAGGGAAGGTGTGAGTGAGGGAGATGAGTGAGTGAGGGAGATGAGGGAAGGTGTGAGTGAGGGAGATGAGGGAAGGTGTGAGTGAGGGAGATGAGGGAAGGTGTGAGTGAGGGAGATGAGGGAAGGTGTGAGTGAGGGAGATGAGGGAAGGTGTGAGTGAGGGAGATGAGGGAAGGTGTGAGTGAGGGAGATGAGGGAAGGTGTGAGTGAGGGAGATGAGGGAAGGTGTGAGTGAGGGAGATGAGGGAAGGTGTGAGTGAGGGAGATGAGGGAAGGTGTGAGTGAGGGAGATGAGGGAAGGTGTGAGTGAGGGAGATGAGGGAAGGTGTGAGTGAGGGAGATGAGGGAAGGTGTGAGTGAGGGAGATGAGGGAAGGTGTGAGTGAGGGAGATGAGGGAAGGTGTGAGTGAGGGAGATGAGGGAAGGTGTGAGTGAGGGAGATGAGGGAAGGTGTGAGTGAGGGAGATGAGGGAAGGTGTGAGTGAGGGAGATGAGGGAAGGTGTGAGTGAGGGAGATGAGGGAAGGTGTGAGTGAGGGAGATGAGGGAAGGTGTGAGTGAGGGAGATGAGGGAAGGTGTGAGTGAGGGAGATGAGGGAAGGTGTGAGTGAGGGAGATGAGGGAAGGTGTGAGTGAGGGAGATGAGGGAAGGTGTGAGTGAGGGCAACGAGGGAAGGTGTGAGTGAGGGCGACGAGGGAAGGTGTGAGTGAGGGCGATGATGGAGATGCAATCCCCACCTGCACCCATCAAATACCCTCCTGCACCCATGCACCCATCTCATAGCACCACCAGCACCCATCCCAAACCCAGCAGCACCCATCTCTAACCCACCTGCACCCAGCTGGCCGGGGCGTTGATCCAAACGCGCATGCCGCACTCCCTTCCGCGCACACAGCGCGCACACCCCTTTCCGCCCACCACCACTCCCGGGGGAAGGTGGTTGCGCGGAACCACATAGTGGCCCTTCCATGGGGCTGATGGGGGGAGAGACGGGGGACAGAGAAACGGGGAGAGAGGACCCCGTCGGGGACGATTTTGAACGTTGGGGGAAGGAGATAAAGAACATGAGGCAATGCACTCCCGCCCACCCACACCCACTTCCACCCACCACCACCTCCGCGCGTGAGGTGAATGCGCAAGAACATGGTGTGTGGGCTGATGGGGGAGATGGGTTGGGGGAAGGGTAAAAGGGGGGGGGAGTTGAAAAGGGGAAGGTGGGGGAGAGGAGGAGGCAGGGGGAGGGTGAGACCCTAGTACCTCCTCCTTTCCCTGTGCAATCGCACCGATTTCCTAAGCCCGAAATCCTGTAACAGCAACACCAAACCCTGAAACCCGAACCCCGAAATCTCGGGGGTCACCCGAGGAAGTCCAACAAACGTCACGATGTTCCAGCCCATCCTTCGACTTGGCAGGACCTTTTTCCCCCTCTCGGTGCTGCCCCCCAAAACCCAAACCCAGTGTCCTGTGGCTCACCCGAGGATGAATATCAAACGTGCTCGAACCGCTTTTTCGACTTGGCAGAACCTGTTTGCACCATCCGCCGCTCCCCCGGCATCTCGGTGCCGCCCCCCAAAACCCAACCCCAGAATCCTGTGGCTCACCTGAAGAAGAATAACAAACGTGTTCGAACTTCTCCTCCTCCTTGGCTTTCCCTTTTTCCCCATCCGCCGCCACGCCCCCCTCTCGGTGCCGCCCCCCCTCGCCGGCTTCTCCCTGTCCGCGTCCGCGGCTGTCGCCCGCGACGTCGCTCGCAGCGTCGCCGCTGCCCCGCTCCTGCGACCCCGTTGCGTCGCCTGCGACGGCAGCTGGTCGCCCTGCGACGGTTGTTGGTCGCCCTGCGACGAGCTTGTCCGAGAGCGACCACTCGGACGAATCCAGCGACGCCTCGTTGGCGTCGGTGGCGGCGGAACTGCGAGTCGCATGCGGAAAGGGGACGCGGAATTGGGCGAGGAGAAGAGGGGGGGGGGGGGGGGGGAGGAGGGGGAAGGGAGTTGGGGGTGGTACAGGGTTTGGTGGTGGTCGGAGGGAGAGGGCGAAGAGGGGGGGGGGGGGGGGGGGGGGAAGGGGGGGGGGAAGGAGGAGGAAGGGGTGGTTCGGTTGGGGTTTGCATGGATGGGTGGTTTGCACCTTCAACCTTTATTTGAAATGAGGAACTTTAGGAACAGGGGGTTGTTTAAGGAGGAGGTGATGAGTGAAGATATAGGGACTGGGCTGGAGCTATGAACAACTTGTCCTTTTTTGGGATGAAGCGAAAATGGACTCCGTTGATATCCCACAATGCGTCCCTCAAAGTTCCAATTGCACACGCCAGGCAAGAAATAAACAACGAAAAATAATTAATTAAACATAAATGAAAAAGGTTAGTTTTGTAGGACGGCCTACAGTTACCGCCGTTCTCGTTACGAACTGTTTCACGTACCTCTGTACAGGCACGCCCTTCCCTAGCGTCATCATTCCCTTTCCACCAGCGCCGGTCACGCCGCGGTAATCATAGTAACTGCTTCTCGCGGCGTAAGGCGACGCTTGCCAGGCGATTAAAAAGAGCAAAATTAGGTTTAGCAGAACCACATAGTACTTGCGAATACCGTCCGGCATCGCTTTACATAGTCCCGAACCAAGACCCGATCCCGGTCCCGAGCCGCCAGACGCCGGTGTTAATCCAACGGCTGGTCTCTTGGTTTTGCTACCGGATCCAGCGTCCGAAACTGTGGTGAAGCTTAACTGTTGGTCGAGCCGCGGCTTGCTCTGCTGCTGGCTCGGCTGAAACTGGCTTCTAATTCGTCTAAGAACCCACATTTTAATACGTTCCACTGGCAGTGACTCTACGGCTGGTAGTTATTTGACGGCTGGCAGTTAATTGACGGCTGGTAGGCTGGTCGCCTAGGAGCCGCAGTAGTACACGTCCCCAGCCTGGCGTGACTTCTCGAGGGTTCTTAGAACCGGCGAAGCTTTTTAGAAGCACTTTGAGCCAATCAGGATCGGATCGGACGCTTCCGCGTTTAACCTCAAGTAACTGCGATATTTATGGAACGAACATGGCTGGCAAACGAACTGGACTAATCGGGTCGTAATTTAAAAGCCATAATGGCGTAGTAAGCTTGGCCTGTGAGATTGATAGCAGTCTACAGGTTATATCTCAACTAGGCGATACTGATTCTGGCCTGAAAAGGCCGTGGCCTGACTAAGAGAAGATTAGTACAAATACTAGTGGCAGCGGTTCGAGAACCGAGAACCAGACGACAACTGCGGTACGTGGTAGTAGGGAGGTCACGGATTGACCTCCTCTTGAATGACCTGAACGCGGTTCGAGAACCGAGAACCGTTCCAGTCCTCTTCCTGTCTCGACTTTTGACTAAGTAGACCACGGTTCAAAACGCATTTGTTCGTCGGGAATGCATTGCTGGACGATCTAAACCGACTCGTAGCGGCGCGTGACTAAACTCGCCTGCCTGCTGCTATAACCCGGAACGTTTGGCTTCTAAACGGCAACCAACCATAGAGTACTTAGTTCCTACGTTGAGATACTACATAATTAGTACCCACACCCACCATAACTGGGTTCTGGCATTTGCCCTGTCAGTTGTGGTCTGGTGAAGGGACATTAATACCCTTCTCGCGAAACACTCCGGGATGGTAACACCTACTTCGCCAACACCAGCACTAGCCGTTGGGGGAAGTGAAGTCTCAGCGAAAAATCCAAACCGAAACCAAACCAGCCGGGTCTACCCCAATCGCGTCGCAAGTGGAGGGGGGAATGGGTGAGGAACCGACCGAACCGAAACCCACGGTTCCTCCTCTCATTCAAACTGCGAGATTTCTTCGCACGACGAGTCGCAAGGAGCGAAAATCGCTCTCCCCTTCAGATGCGCGATTCGTCCGAGAAACCGTACACGTTGTAGTGAGATGACTTTTGGACGATACAATCATGATATACTCCGCACGATGCTTATGATGTGCACTAACCACAACCACATCCTGCTCTAGCATGGTCTGAATTCAGGAACAGTTGCATTGCTAGTTAAAACAACGTGTTCACACAGAGACAATTCATGTGTGTGTACAACTCAGTTCATATCCAATCTATACAAATAATACTGCATACGCTTTTACCCAAGTCCACATTCTGTTATGGAACATTAGGAGAGTCAAATTATGGCAACAAAACTTCCATACTTTAATCCCTCAGTACCCTCCCCTCTCCCCCATGCTCAATGTAATGAATCAAAGACCTCACAACAGCTTCCCCAACGTCCCCTCTCATCTCCACCTTCCCCCGCCCGTTCGACCCGTAGCAGTGAAAATGATGATCGCGAGGACACACATCCATAAACCGGGGCGCTTCCACTTGCCAGCTGTCAAAGAACTCTATATGGGGTACGGCTCTACCAGCCGTACCAAGTCCAGCAGGCGTAACAGAACTGCCTGCGTTTATCCGGTCAACCAGGTGTTTGGTCAGGTGGTTAGCAGCGGAGAGAAAGAGGTTGGTGGCGGGGCCTTCGTAGATGCGGCTGGCAATGCTGCAGCTGTCTCCGCCGTTGGGCACTGGCGGTGCCGAGCGCACGATCAGCCGAACACGGCGCCTCGCGCCTGTGACTGCTTCTTCGGTGGTGGTGGTGGTGGTGCTGCTGCTGCTGCTGCCGCCGCCGCCGCTGCTGCCGCCGCCGCCGCTGCTGCTGCTGCTTGCCATGTTACTGCGTAACAGGCGCTCTGCCCTTTCAGCACCACCTGTTGCTCCTGACTGCCTGCTCACAGCAGCAGCTGAAGTCCCCCGAAGGCTGGCCCCGCCGCTTGGTGCTGGAGAGAGGGGGGATGAGAATGCACCTGCTGTCAGGGAGGCTGCTGCTGCTGCTGCTGCTGCTGCTGCTGCTGCTGCTGCTGGTTGATCTTCAAAGCCTGAACCACTTGGGTCTGAACCTGCAGGAGAAGGATCAGCAGGGTTGTTGGCAGATGCAGCAGCAGCGTCGGCAGCAGAGGAGGCTTCTTGGGCAGCAGAAGAAGCAGCAGCAGGCGCGGCAGCAGCAGCAGAGGAGGCTTGGGATCGGGCCCAGGCAAGGTATTCAGGGAGGTGGGTGCGGAGGGCGGAGAGCGGATGCAGACAACGCTTGCCGGCCCAATAGCCACTGTTGATGATGATGACGTCACTTGAGAGGGAGATGTTGGGGAAGGAATCGTAATGCTGTGAAAAGGCCCCTCGGTGCCTGTCATGGGGGATGGGGATGAGGATGGGGATGCAGAGAGGATATGAACACGGGATGTCTATGAAGCAACTCAGAGGTGCGAGATGTTGGGAAAGGAGCGCAGTGCTGCGAGAAGGCGCCTCTGTGGCTGTGATGGGGATGGGGGTGGGGGTGGGGGTGGGGGTGGGGGTGGGGGTGGGGATGGGGATGGGGATGGGGATGGGGATGGGGGTGGGGGTGGGGATGGGGATGGGGATGGGGATGGGGATGGGGATGGGGATGGGGATGGGGATGGGGATGGGGATGGGGATGGGGATGGGGATGGGGATGAAAAAGGTGAGTGGGTTATGGGACAGCTGATAGGTTCGAGATGTTGGGGAAGGAGGTAGTAGTGCTGCGAGAAGGCGCCTCTGTGGCTGTTGTGTGGAGGTGAGGGGCATAAGGATGAGGGACGGGCATCGCAATGTGGTTTATGTGGTAATGGGACAACTCAAAAAGGCTGTACCAGATGTTGGGGAAGGAGGTAGTAGTGCTGCGAGAAGGGACCCTCGGCTTGTCGAGGGCACAGTGGGGGAGCCATGGATACGAAAGGAGAATGGGGAGGGGATGAGAATGGAATCATACGAGAGGGGAAGGAGTCATAGAAGGTAGGGGGATGGGGAGAGGAAGAAGGGCCACTCACGTGCAGCCAAATTCATCGTTGCGGTAGATGCCATCCACCCATTTGAATTTGAAGCAGAAGGCGCAGAGAGGGGGCTAACTGAAGGGGCGGAAAGTGGGGAACGGGGAGGGAGGGGGTTGCCACTCACGTGCAGCCGAACTCGTCGTTGCGGTAGATCCCATCCACCCAGTAGAAATTAATCCGCAGCGTCTCGTTCCTCCCGTTCCGCGCCACAAACGCCAAGTCGTGCCGCCCCTTTCTGTTCCTCAGGTCGGCCTGGCCCGACAGCATGTAGAAGAGGTGGGCGGCAAGCATGCGGTGGTGCGAGTCCCCCGCGATCGAGATCTCCCTGATTCCTCGCCGGGTGAGGGAGGAGATCCACTCGCCCACTGGGGTCTCTGGTGGGGCACAGGGGAAGGGTACCCACTTCCATGTGGCTTTGCTCTTGCTGCTCTTGCTGCTCCTGCTGCCAATGCCCCTGCCACTGCCACTGCCACTGGCGTTGGCGTTGACCTTTTCACTGTCAGCATCAGTCTGGGAATTTATCTCAAGCCATCTCCCCATTACTGACCCGCTGCACAGGCTACCGCTCCCGTCTGCCTCCCGTTCCTGTTCACCGTCTCTGCTAGTCACCTGCGTCTCATCCTTTTCCTCGTTCTCTTCTCTCTTCTCGGATTCCTGTGCTCTCTCTTTTAGAACACGTGGCAGCCCAGGAGCGGCCGAGTCTGCTTGAGGTGCATGGGAAGCTAGTACAGAGTTTCCTACATTCTCCTTTCCGCTGCCTGCCCTGCCGTCGCCAGGAGCAGCGTCTGGAAGCGGCTCAAATGACGTCCCAGGAGGAACTAATTCCCCTCCAGTGGTCCGATATTTGAGGGTGGAGTTTCCTACTCGCTCCTCTGCGCTTGCTGCCTCGCCTCCCACGCTCGACTGCCCTGCCGTCGCCAGCAGCAGCAGCCGGCGCGTGAAATCCTCGCTATTGTCTGCTTCGTTAAGAGATGGCCGGCTGGTGACTGCTGCTTCGTTTAGAGAGGTGGGTGGTGTGTTGGGTGGGAGTGTGTGCGGCGAGGGGAGGATTGTGATGGTCCATGCTGCCACGTCATGAGTGACGTCAGCATTAGAAGGGGAGGAATAGGAGGAGGAGGAAGAAGAGGAAGATGAGGGTGTAAGGAGGAGGTTGGAGCATCCTGCATGGAGGGAAGCCCTGCAATCAAGACATGAGAGGTGGTGAGAAATGCAGGAGAGTGAAGCGTTTTGAGACACAAAAAAGTATCTTTCTAGACTGCTCCTCGCCCAATCACATGGCTGGTTGGAGCATCCTGCATAGAGGGAAGCCCTGCGATCAAGACATGAGAGGTGAGAAATGCAGGAGAGTGAAGAGAAGCGGAGCAGATTGAAGGGAAGAGAGAAGAAATGAAGAGAAGTCGAGAAAAGACGTTAGAGGGCATTGGAGGAACACACAGGATGATGTTATGAGGAAAATGCATGGAAGAAGAAAGGGGTGTGAGGCTTGAGAAGAAAAGGAGATGACAGGGGGTTGACGCATCCACTATCACAACTTATCAATCACCACGAGAACAACGTATCAATCACTATAATATCCACCTATCAATAATTTCCCGAATCAGCTTATCAATCACGCACCAGTACGTCCCAGCATCCCAGGCTCGGAAAGCGACGACAAACCGGGAGCAGGCGGGAGGGTCGGCACAGACAGGGTCGGCGTGGAGCAGCGAGGGGCCGGTGAGGGAGAGAGCGAGCTCACGCTTCCACCAACTCAGCACGGACGAGTTGGCAGCAGCGGGCGGAGCAGATGGTTGAGGATTGTTCAGCACAGATGAGTTGGCGGGCGGAGCAGCTTGTTGAGGATCGCCCAGCACGGATGAGTTTGAGGGATAGCTGAATGGTGATGCTGTGGCGGTGGCGGTGGTGGTTGTGGTGGTGGTGGTGCTGCTGCTGCTATCATTGCTGGTCGCGTCAGCAACGGGAGGGAGTGTCCACGTGGCGCCTGGCGATTCGACGCTGATGAAGAACGTGCAGGTCTGGCCTACAGTGCAGAAGGAACAGCCGCTGCCGTATACAAACAGTCCGCCTTGCGTTATAGCGGGTTCTGGTGCTACTTGTAACGGGGATGTTGGCTCTGCTGACGTGGACGTCCAGCAGAGTGGAAGATCTGGTGTCCGGGGAATCCATGAGATTGATGGTCCCACGTCATCATGACTAGATGCCGCGTCAGAACCTGTCGCAGCACTGTACAGCTTTACTGCCACGTCAGCATCCAGAATACCAGCAGCTGCATTCTCAGATGTGCTGCTTCCAGCCACCGGATTTGACGAATCATCCGACGGCTCAGATTTGCGCGTCTCAGAGTGAGTCAGAATCAACGGCTGCGTCTGTAGCGCGGGCTTTCCCCGCAGTTGCTGCAATCCCGGGGTCGCCACTAACGAGACTACATCTGCCGAGATCCGTTGTGACTGTGACGAGAGTGACTTTGACAGGCGGAAATCCTCTTTAACCGAGTCAGCTCTTAGCGAGGATGGAGAGGGAGGGGAGGCTTGCGGATCGGAGGCGGGTGGCCAGGCGAAGAAACTGCGCACACGGAGGTGAAAGGGGGGGGGGGGGGGAAGGAGAGGGGGAATGGGGGAAGCGGGAGGTTGGGAGATGGGGGAAAAGGGTGGGTAATGAGTACGAGTTGGGGGAGGTCCCGGGACTGACAGAGAGGGGGGGGGGGGGCAGGGGAAGAAACTGCGCACACTGGGGAGTCTTGGGGAGGCAAGGAAGGCGGAGGGATAGGGATGAGGAGATTTTTGGGTAAGCGGGGAATAGTTTCAGTGCAAATTAGTGAAATTCTAGTCGACTTAAGAGTCGGCTTTGAAACTGGTGTGTAATGGTCTCCTCCCTCTCACAATACCATTCCGAAACGATTTCAAGCGCCTTCACTAAACGAATGTTACACCCGATGGGGGCTTGAGTCACTGTGAGAATTCTCAAATACCCTCGGGGGAAGTCGTGAGTGGGGGCTTGAGTCGCCTTCGAGAATTCTTAGATACCCTCGCTGCCGAGCCGAGCGCATAATCTAGCCACTCTCAGCCACTTCTAACCACCCTTGTCGTACGCATGCATATTTTTCATGCCTTTGTTCGTGCCAGTGTCCTTACGAACGTACGTACAGCCGTACGTACGCACGAATCTACGCACCTCGGTAGCCCGTCCGCGCTGCTCTCAAGTTTCATCTCCTCGAGATCCGCAACAGGCGGCCGGCTGCTCCAATCGCCTTGCGACACGTGGCGCCACAGCTGCACGGCCACCAGCGCGACGAGGAGGAAGTCGATTAAGAGGTAGTGCCAGCGGCTCCGCACCACGGCCACAGCCAAGTCGCGCAGCGCAGCGACGCGCTCGGCGATCAATCTCCGCACGCGCAGTCTATTTTCCCGAACGCCGCGTTTCGCGTCTCTAAGATCTCGAGTATCGTCGTCTCGACTATCGTGATTTAACCTGTCAACCTCCATCTCCCTGACCCCTCTTACTACCTCTGTTAACTCTGCCGGCTATTCTTTCTGTCCGCAACTTCTACGACTTCCCTTGCAACTTGTTCCTGCAAGTACTTCTTTCCAAAGAACGCGCGAATGACGGCGGCGATTTTCTGGCTCAATCCTAGCAACGGGAAGCAAGAACGAGAGAGAACGAGTGCGGCTGACTCGTGTGGTGGATCGGACGAGCGGGTGCTCGCCGAGCGTCGATGTTTTCGACGGTGATACGGAACTTCGAACGCGCTTCCGACTATTTTCTAGAGTGATGTCTAAGGGCCTGGTCGAGTTCCAACTTCATTCGTTTCAGACAACTACTGGTAAACAGCACTCAGTGCGCCTATCTAACTTGTTTAAAGAATCATGGTGGAGCATAAAAAGCTAGCGAGGTAGGCTCCGCGAGGTATATGCACGAACAACGGTACGGACGAAAGTCGGAGCGGCGTCTGTGTCTTGGAATGCGTGGAAACATAGCAGAGGTGCGTGTGGGAAAGGCGAGCTTCCAAGTAACTGATGCATTCATGGCACGGGTGCGACTCGCAAGTGCACTCAACGGGGCCGTCAGTGAGTGAACCTCCGCTCGTTGACGATGATGTGATGGATTGTAGGATGGTGATAGCCATGGCTCACAGATCACGTCACAATTTACGACTCAGTCCACGAGTCTGTGAGCGCCATTTCTTTTCACACATGCCCCACCTTCAGCAGGCTACTGCATGAAATGAAACACAAATGGTTGGGAGCCACCACAAACACATTAGGACAAGCCAAGCCATCTCAACCCATACAGACCCATATTGACCGACTTGAACCGCGTTTTGCGTCCTTGACCGATTTTTTTCCCGATTTCTCATGAGGAAGCGGCACAATTTCGCGCACCGACGAATTTGGGAATTGGGGATCGCGCGACGCGGGAGTATGAGCCCGCCATTGTTGTGTTCCTAACCGAGACGCGCTCGTGACTTTGATAGCTGATTGTGGTAACATGGCGAAAGATTCGGTTAGCGACAGACACAGAAGAGTATCCCTTTGTCGTGAATGCAGTAGGCGTACAAGGCTTCAACCCCAACGGACGAAAGTGCACGAACAAGCGATTCTGGTGACCCTCATTGCTCTGAAGCTCGTTAGTGAACACACCACGTTATATAATCAGAATTACAACCACAAGCAACGTCAGGTGTCAGGTTCAAGCTAATAACTTGCTAGCGCCATCAAGAACAAGACTCTTAGCTAGATAGGATTGTAAGCATATTATCAACAAGCAAAATGTACCACTGAGAGCACAAAGCTCCTAACAAATGTACAACTTCCCAAGCAGAACCTGTACAACTCTCAATCTAGGCAGCTACTTGAAAAAACCTTTTCTCTTGCCAAAGAACCCCTTGCGTTTGCCATAGAAGCCCTTGCGTTTGCCATAGAAGCCTTTGTGCTTGCCATAGAAGCCCTTGTGCTTCCTCCCCTTGTGCTTGTACTTGTGCTTGTGGTGGTGGTGGCCCATATGCACGTGAGCCACATGGCCACCTGCATCTCAACACCACACAAAACGACACACAGCATAGTTAAAAGACTGGAGACGCACACAAGGGAGTCGTGAGTCGTGACCGACACATATCCCCCCAAGGCAACACGGAAGAGAGAGAAAAAAAAAACACATTCCTAGAAAATTGGGGCTAGGCCCTTTCTACAGCCAGCGTCCACGAAAGGCGACACTCAAATAACCAGGAGAAAAGAAATTCGCTGTGGCTGTTACGAAGGCGAACTAGAAGCGGAGTTGTAGCTTGCAATGGCTTATCTTGGCTGCCTTTCCCTCTTCTCCCGAGATGGGCTAGGGACTTTCGACAAGATCACTACTTCCCGACGATTCCTTCATTTGGTGGCAGTCTCACTGGAGCCAACATGTACTGCTAAGTTCCAACCCTAACGAGCACCAATCTCATCTGGAAAATCAGGGAGTCCACTCCACTGTCAAGCTTACCTGGTAGCTGTAGGTCGTTAAACACTCGGGTTGGTGAATCCACGACTACAACTACATTCCAACCCTAACAGCAACAATATTCAGTTGAAGTTCAGCGCAATTCACAGCGCAATCCACGGTTGAAACTTTCAGGCTCACCTGGATAGCCGTGGGGTGCGCGGTACGCAGAACCAGACGGATAACCGGCAGGCGGGTATCCTTGAGGGGGGTAACCCTGTGGGGGGTATCCCTGAGGGGGGTAGCCGGCGGGTGGCGGGTAACCCTGTGGAGGATACCCTTGAGGGGGGTAGCCGGCAGGTGGAGGCGGGTAACCCTGTTGCGGAGGATAGCCGCCCTGCGGTGGAGGGTAACCCTGAGGAGGATACCCTCCTGGGTAACCCTGCGGAGGCGGATAGCCGTGAGGATACCTCGGATCTGCGGAAACGGAACGCGCGTACACACATGGAGGGTAGTACTTTTAGAAACCACTACGAAAATATATTTAAAACACTAGGATTAAAAAGAAGAAATGTTAAACGAAGGGCGTGTCTGAAAATTGATGGAAGCCAAGAAAGTTACAATATCCATCCGAAAGACATCTGATAACGGCTTCTTACCCGACATGACGCTGGGAGATGCCGGATCAGAAACCAGTTATGACTGCCGCTTTAGCTCAGAACATGAGCCGAATTGCCAGACTAAGAGTTCACGACACGCAGGACTGCCTTCAAGCAGACCATAACAAAGCTGCTCGAAGCTCCATCACCTCCTGTGCAGGGAGGCAAATTGGGAGGCAGGTTTGAATCTGACTGGCTTGCAGAGAACCGGGGCAACGGGGAGGGGAGGAAACATAGATATGGAGTGGTTCAGTGTGAAGGCAGAGTGGTTTTCGAGGCCCACAGTGTTGGATTTGGTGTGTTTTGGTACGTTGCTTTGGGTTTTTGTATGGTGTTGTGTGGCAGAGTACACTTTCCTGTCTCGCTGTATGAGAGAAAAGCGTTTATATGAAAGTTTCCCTTCTATAAAATTTATAAGATACCTAATTCTTCCTGTTTATATGATAAACCACGTTTTTTAACAGTATCAAATAGGGCACATGTGTCTTATATCAGGGCAATGATAATAATCGCATCTACATTCATCCGGCTACAGATTTGCTTAGCTTTGCTCCCTGTATATATAAACTCACTGTTTTGCACTAGCCTGAGAGAATCACACCACATTCTCAAAAGAAACCCTTGCGTCTGCCAAAGAGGCCTTTCCTCTTGCCAATGAAACCTTTGCGCTTGCCAATAAAGCCCTTGCGCTTGCCAATGAAGACCTTGCGCTTGCCAATGAAACCCTTGTACTTCCCCTTCTTGTGCTTTTTGTGATGGGCTACATGCACGTGAGCCACATGACCAGCTGCATAGCCACACCAGACAAGACCACAGATAGCGAAGTAAGGATACTATGATGCAAACGCACACAAGGCAACAAAGATGCAAAATGAGATACGGTTCAGGAATACGCAAGGCTGCAACGTCCCCCAAAGGCGAATTTCAAGCAACGTCTGCCGCTAATGCCAATTTTGCATTCGTTTTAAACACGACCCGAACCGATATGTCAAATCTTATTTGAAAGGCGGACTGAAGCTAAATTACTGCTCGTGATGGCTTATTTGAAAAAAACTCCTGTTTTTCTTGAGACGGGCTGGGACTCACACCATGCATATCATTAATGCACATTGGTACGTACCTTTGAGTGATCGGTTGGCTGCAGTCCATCGCCAAACATCTGTCACTGAATCGCAGTAATACATATACCTTACGCAGTAAATTAAATAAATAAAAGAGTCAGACAAGCTGACTCAATATTTGTACGTTGCGAATATAACGCCCGGGTTGGTGGCGGAAAGCCCGCTCAGCCCACTGCATTATCTCTGCGTTTCGCAATCCACGGTTCAAACTTTCAAGCTCACCTGGGTAACCGTGGGGTGCGGGGTACGCAGAACCAGATGGATAACCGGCAGGCGGGTATCCTTGAGGGGGATAGCCGGCGGGAGGCGGGTAACCCTGTGGGGGGTATCCCTGAGGGGGGTAACCGGCGGGTGGGTAACCCTGTGGAGGATACCCTTGAGGGGGGTAACCGGCGGGTGGCGGCGGGTAACCCTGCTGCGGAGGATAACCGCCTTGCTGTGGGGGGTAACCCTGAGGAGGATACCCTGGGTAACCCTGCGGAGGCGGATAGCCTTGAGGATACCTCGGATCTGCAGAAACGCGTGTACATACATAGGAAACGGCATTATGTTGGGAGATTATAAACTCATACAGTAATTTGCTGCGATTGAACAGATAAAAGAGCTGCTAAAAGAAGGGAACGCCTGAAGAATAGTGAAAGACATTTCAAGTTACAAAATTCATTCGAAGGGCATGTGATAGTAACGACATCGTACCCGACATGACGCTGGGAGATGCCGGATCAGGAACTACTTATGACTGCCTCCTTAGCTCGAAAGATGAGCTGAAGTGCCAGACTGCGAGTTTACGACACACAACACTACTTTCATACAAGCAGAAGCAAGCTCCCGCAAGCTCCATTGTCCTGAGTCTAGCGAGAGGCAAATTCGGGGGCAGTGGTTTGAACCTGTCTACGAGCGGTGAACCCAGGTGAACGGGAATGGGAGCGGTAGGTATAGAGTGGTTCAGTGTGAGGGCAGAGTGGTTCAGTGTGAGGGCAGAGTGGTTCTGGAGACTCATGGTGTTGGAGACTGTTGTATTTAAGGCTTTCAGTACGGTGCAGTATGGTGATGTGTGACACGGAACACTTAGGGGTGCCAATTTCCACCTCCAAAGTTACGCAATTTGCCTGGCTCAAGCACACGGCAGCACACATGTGGCAAGGCAAAGCAGCAGCAGCCATCACTCCTGCCCCCTTCGATATTTTGTGCGGGCCTCTTACGTCCGTCCGTCAATTTGGGGACGGAAAGTGAGGGACCCCGGTTCCCGCACGAGAAACCAAGCCAAACAAACCTCGTCCAGAGGTACGGCAAAAAGGGGCTCGCTACTTCGGGCCCCGGCATGGGCCTAGGAACGGGGCAAAATTGCTTGGTCAAAAGGACTTCCAAAGCTGATCACAAATGTAGAGTGTAATGAATTGTATTTCCTCACTTTAGATAGTACATTCCGTCAGCCCGGTTAGGCCTACAATTCCGCCCCGAACGACACCCACGTCGGCTCCGCACCAATCGCAACATTTTCCGAGCCATCCTCGCTGGACCTCTCCGCCTAGCTAGGACTCGGCCTATTTAATCCAGTCACTTTCATTGTATCGTCAGACTCTGCAATCACATTCTCGTTATTCGTTATCCTGCGCACTCTGAAGGGCACGTGTCTTTTGGTGTAAAATTAAGAAAAAAAATACATGTTTAGGGTAATCAGTCTCGTTAATGCTGTTTCGGATTGTTTGCGACGTTCGTGTGTTCATCCACCTTCACAGTTTGAGTCAATCTGGATTTCCACGAAACTAGGATCGACCTCGCATTCGAATTTTCACGTCCACATTTATCCAATCGTGTGTTCTTCTACTCACACACGATGAAGTCGCGACTCTGCGACATTTACAAATTATATCGTACGGGGTTACTGAAGTCGGATATGGTCACGAACTACATCGAATAAACAGGGTAATCCACAAAAGTTGGGCGCGACTAGAGCTTCACTGCATAAAGTCGAACTTCGATAGTGAAACTGTGTGGTGCCATGTGTTTGATGTTGTTATGATCCCACGGGGGACCTTGTCAGGATCAGCCTCAGATTGTTCGCATATAGATATTGCAGTGGCAGTAAATGGTTCTTAGTCAGAGTAAATATAAAATTATTGAAGTGATTTAACACATGCATATATGAGTTATAGATATAAAGTAACAGGGAATACAAAACGACATAGACTAGCCACGTATTATAAGGGGTACATTCCCTTACCCGCTCCCTCGACCTCCGCCACAACAACCACCGTCTCGCCTCCCTCCGTCGCAAGCACCTCGCAAACACCTGCACGCATTACGACCAAGGACAAAGGCAAGGGGACAATCATGAGCTGCATGGCTCGCCGCAACAGAGGCTTCCGATACTACGATCGAGTAACATTCCCGACTGATGATCCGATCAACCCTGTTGCGCCCAGTCCGAACAACGACCCCACTGCCCCTACTTGGACTACCGCACCACAGAGGCACCCACCTGACTTCGAACTGTCACAGCCAACACCGGAATCGCCTCCCAGCATTTCGGCGAATCGATACTTCGCTCTCTCGCCATACACCGGCGAAATGGATCGCGTGGTCACGCCGAAAATCGCCAACATCGCGAGGCAAAGCCGCGAGAACATCAACACCTGGTACCTGGACAGTTGCTGCGGACAGCACATGGTGGGGTCGCCAACATTCATCACCAACTCCAAACGCATGCGACGACCCTGCGAAATCACAGTGGCAAACGACGGCACACTCAAAGCATACGACATCGGTGAGATCTTCCTTGAAGCTGACGACACTCACTTCACGATTCACATCGGCGACGTGCTCGTCGCTCCAGATCTACGATACAACTTGCTTTCTTCAGCTCAGCTTATGCGGTGCGGAGTCGACATTCGAAGCAATCGCAAGGACAAGACATTCGAACTTTTCTACGGCAACACTTACATTGGCAAAGCCGTGGATAACGACGGGGTCTTCGTGCTGCAGTTCTCAGCTCAAGGCACCTCAGGAGACTCTCACCGCACCTTGCTGTTGAAGACAACCACTGCAGAAGCCCCAACCTGGTCGCATCCCACAGAGATGGATCTCGAACGACCCGCCTCGGACGGCCTCCTGCGACTGCGCACCGTTCCGACTGCCTCGACCTCCAACCCAGCTGAAACCGGACCTGCATCAATGGAAGAAGACAGCGGAACGTCAGCATCTGCGGAACCATCCGCCAAAGGAAAAGAAAAGGTCGGAACCGAGCCAGTTAGTCCTGGCCTTGCACTCGGCCCCTTGGGAGAAGTCTTAACACCAGAGGAAGCGGCTGTAGGAGACCGCGGCACCATCTCGGCAACAGTAGCAAGCGGCGCCGCCGAAGGTGGCTGGAGCGCAGAAGGCGGCTGGGGCGAAGGAGCTGGCTGGGGCCCCGACGACAACCCCGGTGGCTGGGGCATCGCCGCTGGCGGAAGCGGCTGGGGCACTTCTGGAGGCCAATCGGAATTGAGGCAGGCAGCCCCTCCGTATCCCGAAGCTCCGGGACTCCCTTCAGCCGAAACCGCGGAGCTTGATCCCTACTGGGCGACACGTGGCACCAGCTGGGGCGGTCCTCCTCTTCCGGACCAGTACGCCCCTGACACACCAGAACCGATGGAAGAAGAGTCAGAGGAGCAGGAAATAACTTACGAGTTTTTCGGCGAACCAGCAGAGCTGCCAGCACCTACCGAGGAACCGCAGCCACCAGAACAAGGACCACAAGAAATCGAGGTCATCGGAGCCGAGTTCAGCTACTACCGCATCCCCATGAAAGGACTCTTAGTCCGAGACTGGCCTGATCGATGCCTGCTCGTCACTGGAGACCAGGTCGACGCCGGCGACACCGACGACATCATCGGCATTCCACTCGCGCTTCTGGAACAAAAAGCAATCCGCGCATTCGCCGCCGACGCCGACAACGCCGCCGATGCTAGACCTGAAGGGGAGGCAAACGACGAAGCAGCACGACAAAAGTATTATAAGAAAACGGTCGGCTATCGGGCGGAACCAGAAATCTGGCATCAGCGGCTGGGGCATCCCTCTCACATAACACTCAAGAACTCACTGAAGGCTGGCGTCCTCGACAACGAAGCGTTGCTCCTTCCACGCGGAGGATTCCTCACTGCAGACTCCGACGACCCGACTTGCACAGTGTGCCCTACAGCATCGCTCGCTCACAAACCCTTCCCCAACTTACCGCCTGGACATGAACGCTACAAACCACTCGATAAAGTCTACAGCGACTTTATGTGCTTGACGCAGGGAGGACTTGACGGCGAATACTACACACTGACCTTCATCGACGCGAGCACTCGCTACGTCTGGGCTGTCAACACCGACTGCAGGTCGCTCGCCTTCGAATGCTTCATCGCATGGATGAAGCGAGCTGAACGTCAATCGGGACTTAAACTGAAGAGCTGGCAAACGGACGGAGCTCTGGAGTTCTTCTCAGACGAGTTCAAGGAGCTCTTCCGCAAGAAAGGGATTGAACACCTGGTGTCTCTACCCTACGCTCACGAGCAACAAGGAGTAGCAGAACGGACAAATAGGAGCCTCGCCACCAGGATGAGGGCCCTGATGAAGCAGTCGGCCATCCCAACTCGTTACTGGCCATTCGCCATGAACCATGCAGTCCGGCTGCACAACTTGCTGTCATCCCGAAGCCTCGAGAACAACAACTCCCCCTACAAGGCGTGGACGGGCAGAAAGGCAGACACGCGTCTGCTTCGGGTGTTTGGCTGCATGATACAGTACAGACCACACACAGCAAGGACCGGAAAGTTTGCTGACCGGGCTCGCTGGGGCATCCACCTCGGAATCGAAAAGGAATTCAAGGCGTGGATCGTGCTGGACTATGCGACACACGAAGTGACGAAATCACGTGATTGCATCTTCTACGAGAAACTGACCCTGCCACTGTTCAACGAACACCGCGAAGCTGACAGGGCACCGGAAAGGGTTTTCGAGGGACACCACAGCTTCGCCACTCCACATGACGAAGCTGACCTGGCGGAAGATGTGGACGCGACAAATGTCTCCCAATTTGACAGCGCACCCAACATCCCCCTTACAAGCCCCTTCCAGACTCCAACCTTCATCCCTCTACACCAACCTGATCCTGATGATACAACTCGCGAAGCCCATAACTTCAACAGCAACGCCCGCCAGACACCAGATGCCGAGTTACCACCACCAAACACCTCGCGGGACTCCATCCGCCCCGGTAACGAAAGTGACGACGACGTGGTCGAAGTAACCAGCTTCCACGACTACGATCGCCTGCACTACGAAAAGACCAACGAAACTGGCCTCCGGATCCTTGGGCTCGCCGTCGCTGTTCGCCACACCTCCCCCAAAGAGCCCACCACCGTTCGCCAGGCTCTCTCCGGCCTCGACAGTGAGAAGTGGAAGGCAGCCATGGCCAAGGAGATCGCATCGCTCAAAAGCCGTGGCACCTGGAAGCTTGTTCCCCGGACATCTGCGAAGGGGAGGAAAATTCTCAGCGGAAAATGGGTGTTCCGCATCAAGACACTGGCGGACGGCTCCATTGACAAATACAAAGCACGTTGGGTGGTGCGCGGCTTCGAGCAAACACACATGGTGGACTTTGACCTCACCTACGCACCAGTCGGATGGCACACCTCTGTGCGAATCCTCATCTGCATCGCAGCCGTCAAGCAGCGCCCC